ATTTTTCAAAACTATTGCTATAATTTCACACTATTTTGAATTCATTCTATTTATTTCTCTAATTTCATAATCCATATTAATAACAAAAATAAATACAATTTATAAATCGAAATTTATTTAGAAAAAGAAGAATGTCCATCTTTTTTATTTCAATTGTGTACGCCTTTCCTCTAATAAGAGATTGGCTACAGAAAATAACCTTTCACTAGAAGCCGAACTTGCAGCTGACAAAATTTTACTCGATAATTTTCTCAAAAAAGGAAATGAATATTCCTGCTTCCAAAACTTCAAAATATTGTCTTGTTATTTATCTTATATGAATCTTTTAAGTTCATCCTCACAGCTTTCATCGGTGATGTTGATGCTTCATCAGAATCATCTAGAAATTCTCTAAATTTTTTATTTAGAATATACGGTCTTTTATGAGTGTAGGATGAATTAGGAAAGTGATAGTTGGTATTGACCATTTAGAATATACGGTTTTTTATGAGTTTAGGATAAGTTAGGAAAGTAATAAATGATAGTTGGCATTGACTTATGCATATCATGTAATTCATTTTTAAGATTGTTTTATATATATCATTTTCTTCTTTTATTAAAAACTTAAGTCTTTTGAAATTCGGATCTAGAATTAAGCTTACCTTATGTAGTGTAGTGTCTGCATAATAATCTTTTAAAAGAAATATTGTTCTGTATTTTAAGGTTTTGATTATTATTGTATCACGTTCAGAAGGTTAACAAAATTTTATTAATTTTTGTTTCCATGGACAAACTTCATTTATTGTGGGACGAGAATCTGCTCTCAGATTATCCGAGCATTCTTTAAATATTGATAAAAATTTATCTAACTCGCGTATGATGCTGATACCAATTGTGGCTAATCTATTTAACTTTTGCTTGCTAAACAAGTACACCTGTATTTCAGAATATGATTTTAAGAAACTCTGTATCATGATATACAGAGTTCCATCTAGTTATTCTCCCCATCTTTTAAGGGTGTGGCTTAGTTTGCTATTAGCTGTAGATTATTTGAAATATTGTACTATTTTTTTTACACCAATTTATATGTATGGCTATTACAGTAAACAATTGTCAAAAATATAATGCATAATATTATTTAGTATATGGCATATATGCAAGCATTTCGTGATCTTTGAATGCACTTATAAGATTTGCTCCGTTATCACTCACAACACATTTATTAAAGTATTTTCTACTTCTGTATATTCTCCTAAAATTGAATTGATTACACTTTTATTTTGACGTTTTTTTTCATCCATTGCCCTTGTGGCCATAACAAATGTTTTTAATTTAAAATCCTTAATGATAATATGTCCTATAATGGTTAAAAAACTTAGATTTTTATAGTCATCCGTCCAAATATCAGTGATTATGGACAAGTAATTATTATATGCTTTTAATTTTATTTCATGGTATATTTTTGTACCTATAGTATTCATGAGAGTTTTCCGGTTCACAACTTTTATATTTTGTTATCCATATGTAACACCAACATTTATCTCTTGGCCTAGCTTGTAAAATCCTTCACTTTCTGTTGCATCTAAAGATTGAAGATCTTTATAAATAAAATATAACTGACTTTTCTGTAAAAAGTTTAAGCAAAATTTAACATAAAGTCTCGCGACAAAAAACACCTAAACATAAAAAGAAAATAGAACTAACTAAATGATACCGGATGTTGTTTATAAAATGCGGAGTTTTCATAAATTATTCTTTTTTTAAAAAGAACTAAATTAAATAAGAAAATATATAATTATAAAAAATTTATAATTAAAAAATTACAAATTTATAATTATAAAATTGCAAATTTATAATTATAAAATTGCAAATTTATATTTATAAAATAACAATTTAAAAAATTAAAATTTCCGTGATTCACGGGAAATTTATGTTCACACCCGATCACGCCCGGGGAAAATTTTGGGAAGGCCCGTCACGCCCAGTCACGCCTTGAAATTCAAAATTTATTCACACTCACGCCGTGACCCACCGTGACACAATGGTCACGCCTAATTTCACGGCCCACGCCCACCTCTAGCATCAATATTTAAGCGATTAGACCAATAAGGGGAGTAAAAATATTTAACTATCTAGCAACTACTCTAGGTTTAAATTTTTTAATCCCAAACATATTAGTTATCACCTTTATCATTATATTTACCAAATTAAATGATTTTTCTTTTATTTAAAAATTATAAAAAATTAATTAAAATTTTAAAATCTAATTAGTTTATAACAATATAAATTTTATTATTAAATTTAAAATCTAATTTAACTATGCTAGAAAAAAATTTACAATATATTTTTATTGTTATTTAATATTTTACATAGAATTTTTAATATATATTTTTAAACCATGTTAACATTTAAAATTGAAAATTCTTATTTGTTTTTTTAAATATATTTCATTTTCATATCGTTTATAGTTTAATTTATAAATTGAAACCGTTTTTAAATAAAATTATCCGCAATTAAAAATAAATTAAAAAAATAATAATTTCTATCTAAAAAAATTTGGAGGTTATGGGGGAAGGGGTCCAACTCTCCCCCCCCCTTTTACGCCACTGAATACTATTTTATAACAATCTTATACAAATCTTATTGGGTATTTCTTGAGACTTCTTTATTCAAAAATACATTTTACTTTAAATTTTATATTCTTTAGATAGACGTTATTTTTTTGTTATGACCTTTCTTATTTCTGATATTCAAATTTTGTTTTATATAAAAAGAAAAGATTTAGAATTATTATTATAAACTTTTATATAATATGATTTACTTTTGTTTGTACATTCCTATCTTATGAAATAAAAATTTTCAAGAAGTAAATGAGATACTTTACAGTATTCACTTAATATTTATTATACCCCAATTGATACTTTTTATCATATATATCGAATTTCAAAAAACTAATAATTTATCATAAAATATTAGAATGTCTTTATTTAAAAAATTGATATTGTTGCCAAAATGTACAGTAATTTTCATACATTTAGAAATTCCAAAATATTTTTTAAAGTATGCAATGCTTCCATTGCCTTGGAGGATTATCTACTAAAATTAATCTTTCATCGAGATTTAAATTCTGAATTAATAGGCCTTTAGATATATTTATATCCTCCTCCAATTAAATTTATCTTATTATTTAATTTTTTTATATCAAGATTTAAATCCTTAGTAGGATTTATAGATATAGTATTTGTAAATTGGATAGAGCCATTTGATGAATCATAAATCGTTCATTGATTTGCGACAAAAATGTATTCAAAAATGGAATAATAATGGTTATTTTTAGTGCTTTGAAGTAAAGGAACGCTATTTGTTACCATCTTATTGAGATAACGAGAAACGGTAACGCGTTTCTTTTTTTTTGAGTAATGGTAACATAAAACTTTACTCGTTACTTTATATTTTTTCTTAAAAAATATAAACAAAAAGAAAAATATATTTTATTGTATTATAAAATTAGTTTTATTTATTTTTTATTTTTTAATTCTTAATATTAATTTAAGCTGAGTTTTAATTAATATCAACCACTTCCTTCATTTTTATTTTAAATTCTCGTTGTTAAATTTTTTTTCGAAATTAATAATCAATCAAAATTCAAAGTAAATGTTAATAATGACATTATTAATCTTATAATTTATTTTAAGAATATTATGTCCATTGTACTTACTTCTTCAGATGAAGATGATTTAACCCTTTTTGGCCCCAATTTGATATATTTTAAACCAATAAAGAAAATTAATGGTACCAAGTCTACTATTTGTAAATGTAAATTATCCAAACGCAAATATTTCAACCTCAATATCCAGCAGTACAAACATAAAAAAAAGATGAATTAAATATCATTATTTTAAACATTATTATTTTTTTTTATATGTAAAGTTTTTATATGAATGTTATGATTTCATCTATCCATCCCAAATGGCGAAGATTTTCCGATTCATTTTTTGGAAGAATATGACTTAACAAATGAAATAGAATTTTGATGTCTATGGATTCAAATATTCTTAACTCACTCTTTATCATGAATATGGTTATTCAAGACTCAAAAACATATAAGATTTATATTTCTTTATAATAATAATTATTAAATTACTATTACAATATCGGAAAGGGTAAGTTCCACTCATTTAGTTAAACTACAACTGGGTACAAGGTTTGTTGGTATCCTTGAGAAAAAAATCGGCATAATTTTATGATGGGTTGAAGGGTGGACCTTCATAATATTTACGTTCGCTCATTTTGGGCAGGTCTATGACCAACGTGCTAGATAAGATAAGTAGAGGTAAGCCATGCCCCCTATTTTTGAAAAGGTGCTAAAAATAATTTTAATTTGGAGGTACCCCCCCCCCCCCCCCCCAGACTACATATTTATTCGATTTTTTACATTGATGCAACCTATTCCTACGACTACTTTGATTCTGGGTCGTCTAACTATTTAATAACATTATCTCTTGCTATATAAAAAAAAAGCCCGGTAATCAGATAAACAATTTTTTTTAATAAAAATTATGTTTTTATTTTTTGGAAAAAATTGAGTTGTTTGTTAAAATTAAACAATAAACTTGCCTAATTTGGCTAATAAAGGTATTAATGAGAGTAATGTCAAAATGAGAAGGTTAGAAAGCTAATAGGGGTTAAATTAAATAATTTGATACATTTAAGAAATCAAAAGGTTAGATGTGGGACACGATTTGAATTAACAAGCTATGGATATATGGTTATATTTAAAAAAATGGTTTATAAAATCTAGTCAATCTATAATGGAGAGAAAGCCTAATGTGAAAAAATAAACTAAAGTATTGAGGTAAATTATTATTAAAATTGAATTTTAATTTTGTTTTTAATGTAAATTACTGGTATTTTTCCATTAATTTAAGGAACAAGAAGTGTAAAATTTCCATTCCTCATAATTTAATTTATATGGCAACATTTTTTGTTAGGTCGCGCATTTTATTGTTAGTTCACAAATATTCAAAATGAATCTCTTTCTAATTTCATTGGTAATTGCCCTAATCGCATGTCTGGTTTTAATTTTTTTGTCTGTATTTCATGTATGTTATTTCAATAACCTTCATATATTTTGCTTTAGATTATAGTTTTTGATGAGTTGAAAAATGATTTTAAAAATCCTATTGATCAATGCAAATCCTTGAATCCAGTATGTTTTAAATTTATATTTATAATATAGATTTATTAATAGCTTATATTACCTGAATATATTTTACACGCATTTATGTCCTTTTTTTTGTTAATAGCCGGTCATTGGATATTATTTTTATTAAATATACCAATTATTGGATACAACATATTTAGGTATATTTAATCTATTTATACTGATTAAATTTGTACAATTTAAAGATGTGTATTTACATATCTGATATTTAATAAAAAATTTACCATTATAACATTTCTTTTTAATTTAAATAAAGTGCAAAAATCACATAAATGTTCTAGCAGGCTCTGCAAACCCCAATTTTAAATTGGTATGTCTATTTTTTTTAAAATTTTTTATGCCTAGATCAAAAATAATTATGATGTATTCTAGATAATTAATCATTAGATCAAAATTTTAGGCCTAGCCCAGATTTAAAAAATTTTATTTTCAAGTCCAACACATTAGCTTGGCCAGAATTCATAACATATTTTGAATAAATTTGGCTGCTATATTTTACAAATTCTTTCAAGGGAAATTGAAAATATGAGGATTAATTTAATAATAAACATTCCAATAATTTTTAACATTTTCTAACAGATTATTGATGAATAATATTTTTAGGGGATTCATTTTTAAGCCCAGTGTTTATAAATTCATACCATTTTTTTTGCCTTTAGGCTGGGAAGGTTGCAGGTTTTATATATGCTATTTTTTTCAAAATAATCAAATATATTTACTTTAAAAAGTTATCTTACAAAATTAAATATTTGATATATATTCTTAGATAAATTTAATGAATCTACTGAATATTTTAGATTAAATTATGGTGACTATATGGTAAACATTTAATCAACCTGGGGTTTGACTCCAATGGGGTATGAGTTAAAAAAATGGAATTAATAAAAATTCTCAAATGAAAGCTTATTTAGATTTATTATCATCATTTAGAATGTATCAATACTAATATTTTAATATCAAATTAGCCTGATGATTTTAAAAAATTGAATTAGAACTTTTGAAATGAAAGCAGAAAATTTAGATTATTATCATTAAGGAAGGATACAATATTTTAATTTCAGACCAGCTTGATCATTCATCTTTTAAAAATTGAATTAGTGGCCAATCATTATAATGTTATCAATCTGATATAATACAAAAAATTTAATAATTTTTCTAAATAAATATTTGACAAAATATATATTTAAGATACAATAATATTTAATTTTTCCTCAAGCTGATGTTATTAATTGTAATATTATTTTTAACTTAATACACTCATATTAACCATGAATAAATATTAATTTACGTAAATATTTAATTATTTTTATATATGTTATATGCTATGATGATTAAAATTAACAATAAATAAAATAAATATTATATATCATAAGTTTATAATAGAAATAAGCCTACAAAATTGTACTATTATGTTAAATTATTATTTAATCAATGATCTTGGTGATCAACCTTGATATTAAAAAGATTAGATCAGCCTCAAAAACGATATTGGTACACCTCTTATCACAAATTCTGAAATTTATGCTTATATGTAATTCTTAATTTGTGCCTTATTAATCTTTAACCTGAATATCAATGAAATCAGCCCTTAGTGAGGTATAAGAAAAGTAAAACTATTGGCTCTATGATAAAATAGATGACCAATAATTTTTCCAATCTGTGTCTTACCTGATGCCGCCTTTAATATTTTTATTTTATCTTTAAAAGTTTTTATATTTACAGATATAAAAATCGTCCTCTAATGAGTTGTCCTGGAATTCATGATCCAACGAATGTTTTAAATTCCAACTACTTAAAATACGCTCAGATAGAAGGATGGAGTAAATTGGGATTCCAAATATTCGTGTTTTTCATCTATCTTTATTGGTAAAAAAATTTATATATTTTATGTAGTGTTGTTAAATGGCTAACCCAATATTTTAGCCAAAAATATTACGCAAACCTCCAGACTTCGTTAATAGATGCCCAAGCAGACCAAGCTTGCCTAATATTTTTTGACCAAAATGTTTGGCTTAAGAGTTTTTTAAAAATCGAGCCGTTTAACTTATTTTATGTGATTTTTTCTTTAAAAAAATATTTTCTTTTACACAAGTTTGATATACTATCTAGTCTCGGAATGAATAGGATAATCTCGATGAAAAAGGTCTTATTTCCTTTAAAGCAAAATCTCACCCAAAAATTAAATCACGATAATTTTGATATGTAGTAATATGTATTTGCTCTTATATTTTTATTCCCCCAAATATATTATGTTATTTATATAATAATAAATTCATTATACAAAAAATTATAATAATACAAATTATACCAATTACTCTTTTGAAGTATATTTAAAATACAAAGCACAAGAAATAGGCAAATGTATATCATAATTAATATAAAAAAATTGTAGTTAATGAGAATTTTTATGTCTTATATTGCACCGATTTTAATCGTTTCCTTTCGTAGTATAAAGATTAATAAAATATTTATAGGAATGATATTGAAATATGAATTGGGTTCGTATTCTTTTTTTTTGTCATAGGAATTAATTTTTTTAGTTAATTTATCACAATGAATAATCATTTCATTTTTTTAAATGCATAATTTCAAATTTAATCGTATTTAAAGCTCTGCGCATTTCATTTAAATCCACTATACCTGGGTTGATGACAATTGCAGACTCTAAAATTTTTTTTTAAAATATATAAATTAAATTAAGATTAAAAACTTTCATTTTTCTGTACAAGTTTTTTATTGTAGATATGCAATATTGCATAATTATCATCTTCCTTGGTGAGATATTCCAACTCGGGTGTTTTGAAACAATTTCTATATTATAATAAATTAAGGATTTATATAATGTGTTTGAACCTGTAAACGTGTAAATGTTTAAAGGCTTTCGCAACCTGATCGTTAAGCAAATAATTAAAGATCTGGTTTTCTGCATCGTTGGACGTCTTAAAGTGTCTCGTGATATTAGGCAACGTGGAGAATTGTAAATTATTGGATTTTTCCGTAATAAAATTACAACGCCTATTTTCTGATTTTAATTTTATAAGCTTTTGTTTCATGTTGATGGAATTATTTGACAAATCTTTGACGTCAGGTGATAGGAACGATTTCAACAAATCAAAAAAATCTGTATATGTCGAAGCTAGGAGATACGTTTGGAAAAATGTTTTCGTGTAGAGGGTAGCCATTTCAATTAATGTGCTCTCGTTGTTAGATCCATATTCTTTGATAAACTTTTTTTAAACATTAAAATTATAATATTTCGTATTTTTTAAATAAACCTTTATATAAATCTGCTTTCGGTCTTTAAAATTTTCATAGTGCTCTTTGATTTCAATCACGCAATACTGGAAGTTGGATAATACGTTGGACAGACTGTTTTTTAATTCGCCTGATTGCATTGTCGTCGAGGCGATTAGCGTTTCGTTGATGTACATAACTGGAAGTTTGTAAAAATAGCGCGTCAAATTTTGGATTGCGTATAAGATGGTGTTTGGGATGATTATATCGATAGATTCATTTTTTAACGTGCAACAACCATGGGTCTCGGCGAATAACGAAGCCATTTCTGTTAAATCGGTTTTTAGATATCCGTATAAGATGGGTAAGTACTGGAGGAAATTGGATATCAATCGCGACAGGTTCAAAACTTGATCACGATCCGCTTCGTAGATGGCTAAATCTAGCCTAGAAAAAAATTTATTCCAACAATGTTCCACATTTATCATATTAATGTTATGTTCATTCGAGAATTCGTTCTCAATCCAAGTTTTATTTCTATAATTTTGATTTACCAATGATTTTCTATCATCAAATATGGGGCCAAATATTTGAACCTAAAATTAATAAAATATTCATAATGGAATTCATTTATTAATTTGGTATTGCTGTAGTAATGTAACAATAGTAAAATGTCATTATGATGCTTTACTTCTTTTTTAAAATTAACAGCCTTATTTTTATTTAAGATGATAATTACTTTATCATAGCTTTCGTTATAAATGTGAGAATGATTGTCCACATAAAATTTTGGAGACTTTGACATGAGAGTGAGTGGAGAACTGGAGGAGTTTAAGGAACAATTGGAAGACTCTTCGGACGATACCGGGGATAGGGACTTTTCAGAATCTTCGCACGAGATGATACTCACATTACTGCAACTTATGCTACTGCAAACGCTTTGACTTTTTGTATATTTAAAAGTTTAACATAAAATTACAAGATTTATAAAGACATAAAATCAAAAATATAAAAACGTTTTAAGATGCTAAAATCTTGCAAGTATAGTTGAGTTTGCTCTATTTTTAACCTACTACTAATTTGCACCTCAATGCTTACTGGATCTTATTCGGCAGGCCTATAGATTAAACGATTTTTAGCCATTATGGAACTATACTTACGAGTTTTTTATAAGTGATATGGGCTTAGGCAAAAAATCAGGGTAGATATGGGCTGAAAATGTTAAAATTAGGAAATTCATAAATCTTTTAGACTTTATAAAAAATTTGTTTAATTATATTTTATTCAGGTAAAAATTTCGCTCTAAAAAATATGTTGAGAATCGGGCCAGACAATAGTAGCCCAAACTGACGATTTATTATTAAAACATACATTGTGAATACAGCTGTACGCAATGCCATTAGTTGTAGTCATCATTGATTTTGTGTGAATTATTTCACTGGCTAACTTTAATACATGTACACTTTTTAAGGCATTTTAATGAATGAATCGTCTTTAGTTTTAATTTCATTGGGTCAGGGTTAAAAATATATTTTAAAAATTTGGAGGAAAATAACTTACTTATTTCATATTTAATCAAATAGTAAAAAAATAAATGAAGGTATAAGATGAATTTTAACAAATCTTACATCGAAGAATGCTCGACTGTATGACTTAATTGGCTTTCGTGATTGCCTACATTATCATTTTCGTCTAATTCTTCCAGTTTGCTCTTAATGCTCGATCTGGCGCAAAATAATAAACCAGCAGATTCGTGATAGCTATTAATTAGAGGGTAATCGTTTTCTTTGATCATATTTCCTACCTCATCTTCATACTCGCGAATATTTTTCTGAATAATAACAAAATTTAATATACAATCTTGTCCAAAAAATTTATGGGTGAATCAAGATGAAATTTCATAAAGGGTAGTTAATCTTTTGGTCAACATATAGAGTATACAGTTTGATAAGCAATTAACTAAAAAGTTTTAAAAAATAAAATAAGCATTTATTTTTATTGGATACTTGTACAAAAAAAATATATTCAATTTTGGAAATTTAATTTTAAGAAATGAAATAAAACCTGTGTATTATCCAAGGCTTCATCCCAAGATTGCTGCAAATTTTTTATACTTAAAATACTAACTTCAGCATCGTCATCACACTTAATTCCCCCCTTAGCCATTCTAAGTACGTTGGGTGTGACTTGAAGCAGCACGCAAGAAACACTCTTACTTAAACTTTTACCCATTCTTTTGAACAATGGCTCGTTAGCATGCTGATTATTATCGGCGCCTTCCATGCTATTAGTTACTTGGTTTGTGACCACATTTTGTATAGAAATCCCTTTATTTATATTAGTATCCTGCAATGATGACATCATATTATCGCCGATTGAAAGTCGTTTTTCGCTTGTAACATTCGTAGCAGCGGTTGTTAGTGGTAGTGGTGAGAATTTTAGGGTGCAAGAGGGTAATTTTTTTTCAAATGTCTTGTCGAAGTTTATGCTGTTCAAGGCTGACATGGAGGATGAATAGGTGGATAAGGAAAATTTTGACAAGGAATAAGAGGAAGAAGTGTGGGAAAGCATGCTTTGATGTCTGATCAAACCGGCCCAATGAAAATTATCCAGGTCGTAGACGCTAGTTTCGTCGTCCTAATTTATAAATTTTTTAAAAACATTAAATATTCTTGAAGGTAGGCTTATTCGATAACGAATTAAATAATGTCATATTCAATTCCTTTATTATTCCCATTAGTAATTAAATTGTTCGAATAATTCATTTTTCTAAAAAAATATTATAATGATCAAATTATAAAATGATACTAAAAAAGTGTGAAAAATAATATAAAATTTAATTGCTTAAAAATAAATTATATCAATATGAGCTAAAAGATAGTCAACATAGAATGACAGTCTTTTATAAAAAAAATGTATAGAAAATACTTTTACCTTATAAAAATTTAATTTTCTAATAGTATATTCTTTTGCTAATTTCAGAAATACACAGAAAGATAATTCCTAGTATCCGATAATTATAATTCCGAAAAAAAACATTATTCTTATAAAGTACACTGCTATTTTATTGATTTTTTTTAACTCCATAATATAAATAAGTATTCTTTATCATGAAAGACTTTTTAGGAATAAAAATTACAAAAGATTTACTTAATAAAAGATTTGTTATAAAAAAAAATTGGAATTTAATAAATTTGATCAAAAATCCTGTTTGAGCATTCTCAAAAAAATATTTGAAGATTTTTTATTTTTGAGCAAATGTTAAATGCAATTTTTTAAAACATCGGTGAAGAATACGAGCAATGCTATGAGACACCGTGTATCTGCTAATAATTTACCAAAAAATAAATTTAAATGAAATATAACTATTTTATGATAATATAACTATTTTATGATAATGAAATATAACTATTTTATGATACTTTATTTATTGATTCACACTTTTAGGGGTTGTAATATTGTAATTAGTGCTATAAAGTATCGTCATTACCTTTTTTCAAGAAAAGGAACGCCATCCGTTACCTTCTTCTAGAGATAACGAGTAACGGTAACGCGTTTCTTTTTTTTTGAGTAACGGACGCAAAACGTTACTTTAAATTTTTTCTTAAAAAATTTTTTAAAAAAAGAAAAACATTTTATTGTACAATAAAATAACCTTTATTTATTTTTTAATATAAATAATTTAAGCCGAGTTTTTAATTCATATCAACCACCATTCCTTCATTTTTATTTTAAATTCTCGTTGCTAAATTTTCAGTCGAATGTTAATCTAATTAATATTCAATCAAAATTCAAAGTAATTAATAATAATATTATTATTTTATTTTATAATTTATTTTAAAATATTTTGTCCACAGTACTTCTTCAGATGAAGATGATTTAACTTTCCCTGGGCGCAATTTGAAACATATTTTACACCAATAAAGAAAATTAAGGGTAAAAAATCTACACTTTGTAAATGTAAATTATGTTCCAACGCAAATATTTCAACCTCAATATCAAGCAGTTCAAACTTAAGAGAGCATATGAAGGTAAAAAGATGAATTAATATATTATTATTTTAAACATTACTTTAATAATAGAATATTAAATCATGGGTAATATAAAATAACTATTAAAAGAAGTATTCTTTCATAATATTTTGAAAAGCTTAATCATTAAATTAAAATATAAGCAATTAAATTATGGCTGGGAACCAACATTAAAAACCCATGATTAATAAAATATTGGTATTGGTTCAAAATATTATATTGGGTTTAAACAATATTTTCTATTTCTTGTTTAAGTATTACTATTTGGTTTAACTTCAAATTGTTACTAGATTTAAGGAATAAAATAGTGATTTAAAAACTTTGTAATAAATATGTATATGGAATAAAACTGGAGAAAAATATAGTTTTAGAGAACTGAACCTAAATATTTTTCCTGATTCCTTTTTAAATGCTATTTCTGAATAAGAAAAATTATCTTTGGCAATCATAATTTCTATTTTTAATGTTTTTTTGACAATAAGCATAGTGAGGGATTAAAAAAATGCAATTAAATTTTTAAAAGATTTATCTTAAATTATTGAAAAGCTAAGTTATTTTAATAAAAAATTCAATATTAATATTTTAATTAAAAAATTATAGACTGTACATTCCTCAAAAATGAAAAAGATTAATGAACATTTGAATAGTAATTTAAAAAAATTGATCAAGTCACACTCGGGATGCAGAATGCATCTACATCAAAGATAAAAATAGCACAATCAGCTGTTGATTAATTGAAGAATATTTTTAATTGTAGAAAGCACTGCTTTATTAATATTATCAAAAAATTGCAGCCAACTAAAAATGTGATGTCTAGACCATCCCTCGTATTAAAAATTAACAAAGCATATGACACCATGGCAAAAAATTAGTGGATTTATTGTGTATCCCAAAAATTGTCTGTACAACTATAGATTTTTGGTCAGATTATCATCGGTATATAAAATATATATTTTATAGATTGATAAAATTGTCTTTTAAAAAAGTTCTTATTTAGGGATGATGGTACACTGGCTACACCCAGACACTCTTGAGATGGTGTCAGCTAGCTTGTAAAGGGCCAAACCAAAAACACACATTTTATTATCTAGCCTAGAAAAGATAATCTTTGAAATATTTGTCACATATAAGATACAAAATAAAGTGACCAAATGCATTACCGACAATGCTAGAAATTATATAAAAGCTTTTAAGTAAAAAAATTATAATTATTTATTTAAAATTAATTAGAGTATATTAACAAGGAGAGGAATCGAATAATGAAATAGTTCCTTTGACATTATTTGATATATTTGAAAATCAAAATACTAATGATAGTATTGCAAACTTACCTTAGCATCATTCCTATTCAGCACACACTCTAAATCTCATTGCAAGTGTTGACATTGAAAAAGTAGGTAACGATTCCATTTTAAAACCATTTCAAAAATTACATTTTCTAAGTGTAAGCTATGTGAAATAAACATGGGCAATCTTCAAACTGCGCAGATGAAGATATCTGATTAAACCGGTTATAACAAGATGGAACTCTTTTTATAACTCCATGAAATGAATATGTCGTCTTATTAAGGAGAATTGTCAGACAACGACAAGCCTTTCTTGGGAATATTGTATGGTTAATGCTAATTAAGAAATATGATATGTATATATATGATTTTATAGGTTATGGAACCGATTGCTACGGCTCTCTCAATTTTAGAGAGCGAAGAAAAAATGCATTTGAGATATCTCACTCCCACCATAACTATTATAATTTTAAAACTTAAAAAAATGGCTTTAAATAATTTCAAGTTTTATAAGCCGCTTATAAATTCGATCCTGGAAGGCATAGATAAAATGTTTACAGTTCAATCGATTTACACACATCTATAAAGATGAATATATACTATTAGCAATTTCACCCACTATTTAAATTGAATTGGCCTTGGATAAAATTAGAGGTCAACAGAGGAAGAATGTTAGAACTTATTTCTAGTTTGAGAAAAAACTTGATAAAGAAAGAGCAGACTTAATTCCTTTATCCAACACACATACCAGAATATTTTCTGATAAAGATAAAAAAAATTTTGATGAAGAATGTGAAAGCATTTTTCAAAATAAAGATAATTCTTTATTTTTAATAAATTCCCCGAATAAAATTTTTATTAATTAAATATAATACAACTCTCCCATCCTCTGCGCCAATTGAACATGTGTTTAGCACGGCTAAAGCTGTATTGAGCACTAAGCACTCTTGTTTGTCTAGTCAAGATTTTGAAAATCAATTGTTGCTAAAAATAAATAAAAAATTGTTATAAAAAGATGTTATCTTATGTATAATATATAATTTTTGTATAATTTTATATTATATATTGTAAGAAAAAATTAAATTTTTTTTGTATATAATATTTAATTTTTTAAACGAGTAACCCGTTACTTTTTTGAATAATCAGTAATTTTTAAAAAGGTAGCAAGTAACGGTAACGCGTTTCTTTTTTCAGACGTAACGAGTAACGGTGCGTTTCTTTTTTGTAGTAACGTTTACAGCACTAATTGTAATATATTGATTTAAAATTAGAAAAAAAATTTCACTCGAATGAATTGCGGCAAAAATTCAAAAAAGGTTTTTTTTTAAAACACGTCAATTTATGTAAGTAATGTATAGTAAGGATATACCGATATTTTTTATTGGATCGATTTTTTGTCTTTTTAGAAATATCGGTTATAGGCCAATATTTTCTGATACGATCCAATATAATGACGTCTTAATTAAAATTTTTAAAATTTATTATTATTTAAGTAAATATATTTGTACAAGTTTAGAACAAACGGCATAAGTATTTTTAAAAAAATTTCAGTCCCGGCTTAAATTTATTTAAAAAATATTACGACCCCCCGTGCAAATCTCTGAGTATAACTGAATTAAAATTCTGGTATTATTATTTAAAATGGCGTATGTTATAGTCAGGGTTTTTAAAATTTTGGAAAGTATCTTGTATCCAGTATCTAAGATACATATTATTTAAAAGTATTTGTATCTTAACCAACTTTGTATTCAAAAAGATACAGATACTTTAAAAAAAATTTATATTGGTTAATTTAAATAGTATTAAAATTTAAAATGATATTGTTATACTTTAAAAAAAATTTATATTGGTTAATTAGTATTAAAATTTAAAATGATATTGTTTTAAGATTTAAATGAAAAATTTAATCAAAATTTAGATATTTTAAGATAATTTTTGATATATGACATTGGTCGTCATATAGCAATTTGCTAACAATTAGAACTACCATATTTGAATCGTTTTATATCTGTCTATTTTAAAATTATGGAAGAAGAAAATGGAATAATATGTTTATCTTCGTATTCAGATGATTCTTCAACCTGAAATTTAACAATAAATTTAAACTAAGCATAATTAATGGCAAATTTTTTGAAGTACTTCAAGATGATCATAATAAAGAAATTCATCGTGACTTTGGTATTGACGAAAAAGTTATAGCGTTACAGATAACGGCTCTAACTTTAAGAAAGCTTTCAAGGAGTTTGGATATTCTATGGAAGCTGTAGAGAATGACTTTGACATCAATGATGATGAATGTATAGAATTCGAAATCATTGAAAGTATTATTTAATACTTCTTTAAAATTTATTATGATATTGTAAATTTAGTAAAAATTTTTATTCAAATAAAATTATTTATTTGTTTATTTAAGGGTCTAAAGAAGCCTCAATAACATTGCCTTAACACATTCGTTGTTTGTGCCATACGATAAGTCTAATTGCCACAGATGTCGAGAGAGCTATTAAGGATTCTCCTAACATTTCTAAAATTTATCATCCTGCAATAGCTAAATGTACTAAGCTATGGAATGCAAATAATAGGCCTAAAACTGCAGAACTTATCAAAGCAGTTTTAGGAAAACAATTAGTTACACCTTGTTGCACTAGATGGAATAGTTTGTATGATAGTCTTCATAGTTTATTAAAATTTAAAGGCAAACTTCCTAAATTATGTCAAAAATTAGAATTTCCTAAATTACGAGATATTGAAATTCAATATTTAGAAGAATATTGCAATATAATGCCCATTGGCTATAGCGATTGACAAAATACAGAGTGAAATCAACTGCTATTATGGAGAATCAGCTCCAATTTTAAATGTCGTTAAAAAAAAATTACAAATTTAATTCAAACCAATCTACAATTTTGCAAACCATTAGCTGTTGCCATAGAAAATTATTTAAATAAAAGATTTAAAAATATATATGATTTTTAAAAGTGCATTTTTGGCAACTATTTCTCATCCCTATTTTAAAAATCGTTGGATTGATGGTGAAAAAGAAAAAAAATACCTTCAGGATTTATTATTACATGAAGTTTTAATTGTTTTTAAAAATAATATTGAAATTAATACTTCAACAAAATCTTCATGATGAAGATGATGATTACTTTTGCCTTAAAGGTACCACATCCAATTCTAATAATTCAATAAATGATATTGAAATAGAGGTCCTAAATTATATGAAAGATGACAGGCGGAGTATAAATATGTTAAATAGTTATAAATATATAAAAGAAATATTTATTAAATATAACACAATATTAACCTCCTCAGCCCCCGTTGAAAGATTATTTAGCTTTGCTAATATGGTTAATAGACCAAGTCGTCAAAGATTGAACGATAAATCATTTGAAAAATTAATAATATTAAAAAATAATGCTGATTTATTATTATTTACTAATTATATAATTATTAAATGGAATATCGCATTATCTTTTATAATAAATTTGTTATTTTCTACAATTTATATAAATTTATATTATAGATAAGAAAATAAAGCTTTATACATTTTGATTTTGACTATTTCAAGTTTTTTAAAAAAGTATCTTATATCTTATTGAAATTTTTCTAAAGTATCTAGTATCTTAAATACAAAATTTTATAAAGTATCTGTATCTGTCCGAAATTTTCTGAAAATTTGCCCAACCCTGGTTATAGTATAATGTTAGAGGATGTGATGGTATACTAAAAGTAGATTGATACATAAAATGATTAAAATATATTAATAAGATTCTTAATATCGGATTGGTAATCGGCCGGTATCAATTTAATATTGGCATGACAATATCATAGAATCAGCCTCCAAAAAGTGGTATCGGTTACCTCTAGTAATGGAGGATATTATGAACAATAGTAAAATAATAATTAATTATTTTTTAATTATGCATTTTTATTGTTCAAAAATAAGTTATTGGAATAATTGTTTGATTCAAAACGAATAGAGTACAAATTTTATTCACGAATTATTTATAATGACGTCTTTGTTTCAAATAATCTAATTATTATTAAACTTGTAATTTTTCCAGTTCAATATCCAAAAAATCAAAATCTTTAAAAACTCCCACAAAGGTTTCTGTAAAGGTGGAGGATATGTCATCTCTGCTGCTGGTATCTCCAGAGGAATTATTACCGACAACGCTTAATGACTGAGCATTTTTGAGAGAAAATGAGTTTGCAGGTGTAATGGTATTATCCCCGCTTGAATAACTTTGATTTCTTTGAAGTTCACAATTTTGGCCAAATATCATCTAAAATATTAACATTTTATGCAAATTTTAATAATGTATAATTACAGAAGGACTTTTAGTGAATCCTTTATTTTGACCAACGGCTTGCAAAAATTTAGCCATTCTATCCTTTAATCGTTCCTTTAATATAAGATATACATAATATAATTTAGAAAATATTTTCCAGGTTATAAACCTGAGACGTTTGCGGTCCTTTTTTCCATGCAAATAGACTCCAGTTAGTGGGCGATGGCTTAAAAATTGAGCCAGTGTTAGAAAATCCATTTTTGTAAAGTGAATTACTTGTTTTAGAATTGGTAGGAGATATGGTGTGTTGTTGATTAGAAGATGAATAAAATAATGAGGCAATATTTCTTTTATTTTTGGCAAAATCAGATTCATGTTGAATTCTTTTGGTTATATTTATATATTGATTAATAACATCGCCACTATTATTATTAACTAATACATTTTTTATATCATTTTCGTTTGATGAGAGAGAATTGCGGGATGCGATTGCGTTACTCGTTGAATTGTCGACAGGTTTATTTGGATCTTTTAATGTTTTAATAAAATCCTTTTCAATTGTAAAATCGAGAGTTGGACCTATCATTTCAAAAAAATATTAATATTTAAAACGGAAATTAATTTACCTGATAATTGTTGCCGTGGAAATAAACAATCGATTTCTATAAACGAAGTGGTAGTAGAATAATCAGCCAATTTAGATCTTCCCTTATTTTTGGGTATATCTAAACTAGAGCACTTTTTAACAATAAGTTTAACTATATTGTGAATCATAACCGAATTAATGTTTTTATTCAATAACGATGTTAATTTTTCGTTCAGCTCTTCATCTCCGATTTTCGTTATATCGTTTATTGAGATAAGAATGTATATTATTTGCAATATATTTTCTTGCCAACGATGGGGCCCTTTATCATATAACTACATATTTTTTTAAATGATTTAATATCGCGTATTATAATAAATATTACTTCCAACGAAAATTGAATGAGGGATGCATTATAATTAGTAAACGCTTCCGAAAGATAATTGATAATACATTTGATCCAATGTGAACACGATTTATTAAACGCTTTTTTTTCGTATAAATTAACTATCACGGACAGATTTCTTAAAGATTCCGATCCAGGAAAGAATGAACAATACTTAAAATAATATTTTTTTACAAATTTAGGCAAAATAATTAATTAAATAAATATTATAAATTATTTTACATTGGTTATACTCCGGCATATATTGCGTGTCAATTCATCATCCCTTGAATTATCATACTTTTCTAACAAGTATAAAAACAATATGAGTAGGACCTTGTAGGCCTCGGTTTCAATCTCATTCAAATCGAACGTCCTATTTTCGTCTATAATATCGCGTTTATTTTTTGTCTTGGTCGGCCCTACGTAGCTAGTCGCGCGACAAAAAGAAGGGATTTCGGCGAATACGCGAAAAGGAAATTGAAGCATAGAAGAAAGCAAACGAAGCAAACTTTCCTCTAGGCCAAACTCATAGAGTTTGTTAATGTGGAGCTTTAACCACCAGTTCTCCACCGCTGGTTTATTGAGCATTTCCTCATTATTATTAGCAGTGATAATTGATGAAGACCGTGTAACAAATTGGCTAGAAAGAAGAAATCCCTTAAACACGAGTTCATAAACTCCTTTGAAGGAGGCCCATTTGAGCTTAAAAAATAGTTTTTCCAATGCCTGACAAAGGCGACGTCTTTTTTCCACGCTTCCATCCCTACCTTCTGCCGCTAAGTAATCGAGCCTTTCAAAAACGAGGTTAAGTAATCTGACACCAGACACATATTCATGTTCAGTTTCTGATTCTAGCAGGCACACTGCTAGCCAATAAACACGCGAGACAAGCGCTATTTTGGCGCCATCTGGAGGAGTTACCGGCTTGTTAGCTGGTAGTTTATTTTGATGAACTCTAAGAGGCGGGGCTGAAGGCGATAAAACATTGACGAAGTTATTGTTGGTACGTTTAAAAAAATCGCTAGAGCTCTTGCATCTTTTAAAGGACAAAGCAGATTGCGGTGATGAATATGTGTGAGATGTACCGTCAATTGCATCTTTTTAAAAATTAATTTATAGGATTAAAAATATAAAATAAAATTTTGCAATTGTAAGGTATTATCTTGGAATAATAAATAATCAAGATTATCATAATATCATAATTCATAGCATAATTGTGATAAAATACATTTCAAGATGAAATATTTTAAGATAGTATCCCTTCTGCAAAAAACAACTTTATCTTAGCTTTAACTATGTTTGGCGAAGAATCAATGAAGGTTTCAAAATTATATAATCAAAACTTAATATTTTACCATTAATAAGATGACACTTTTTAAAATCTGACGGTGGCGCATGTGATAGATGTGGGGCGTTAGGAATCAATTTATCAATATTTTTCAGCGGTATCACCTCTTCCAAGTCGTATAAATCAAAAGGAAAGGTACGGCGTTTAATGGATTTTAATTTCTTGTCGCGGAATTCATTGTTAATAGTTTGGAAATTCGTTTTATTCCCGCATTCTCTAATATCAGGGAACAGTTGATACAATAGTCTAGCCGTGCATATTTCGATAGTGAGAATCAATTCCATAAAATAATTCCCGACATCTTCTGCCGGTTCTCCCGTGATTTCTCCTAATCGACTCATCAAATCGCTAAGGATTAATGAATTAATATTGACATTTTGGATTGAGCGAAATACCTAGTTTAATTTTAAATATAAATTATTGCAGGATTAGTTGACGTCATTAGAAAAATTCTCAATGGATAATTAAGATTTATAAACGGTTTGGGAGTTGACTTTTGCTGGAGACCTATCAAATTTGTACAGAATCTGCTACTAACTAAATAAATTTCTTGTTTTTTTGAAAATAACAAGAAATTAAAATATTACACACGAGATAAAATAGATTGAAACATTTATAAAATTACATAGGGTTATTTAAAATTATAATTAAATATAATTTATTATTCCTAAATATAAATATACCAAATTTTATAAAGATCTTAACTAGGCGTCAATGGTCCCTTTGACAAATAAGCACACTTTCGTAAAGCGTTTTAAATTTTTTTTTAGAATAACATAAGTGTAGGTGTATAAGTATAAAAACCCGGCATTTTTACTGTAAAAAAATCACAAATTTATAATATATAAATAAATAATAAAAAATATATTATAAATAACTTGTAAAGAACGAAAAACAAAATGCTTGGACGGATTTGATAACGAAAAGTTTAAGGCGATTTTAAACCACTTCTCTTCCAAATTTAGAAAAGGGGCTATCAAGTTAACGAATGAACATAAACAATCTATAAAAACGTAAAATTCTTGACTGCGAACATTCCAATTTTGTGGGTTTGAATCTTCAATATATTGTTTTCTAAGAAATATGTAAGTTTTTTATAAATGTTCTAAGATGGAAGTTTGTTGATAAATAATACTAAAATAATTTTTTTTTTATAAAGGCGGTGTTTGAACATTATAAGTATTTTCCGTAATAGCACTCCTATATTTAAAAAAAATTTGACTTATGCTTAAGTAATATGATGAGAACAGCAAAGGTACTCTTTGCAGAGGTAATATTTTGTGTTAATCCCAATTATAAAAAAAAACTAAGACGCTATATTGTCATAAAAAAGATTATTAAATAGGACTGAAATAGATAATTTTATTAAATATTTGATCTCACAAAAATGATTTCATAATTAAATAAATAATTTTTAGAGACCTGCAGACCTGGCCCTAAGCACGGTTACACAGGCTGCGCCGGATATTTTAAAACATTAAAAATAAATGCAATATATTTTTAAAAAATCCGGGCCGAGTAAATGTTACCTCTGCAGAGTTCTAATTTTTTAGATGCTTTTTAATATATACTTTTTTAATAATTTAATCAGTAAGCGACATTTCCGCTTAGCAAATGAGCGTTCCATTTTATTAGGATAATTAGTCACATTACAATATTTCGAGTAGATAATGGGACTTTGTAAAACAGAATGATCTTCGTCACAATTTTCGTTTTTATATTCAACTTCATCGATAGTAGATTCGTCAAAATAGCAACTTTCTGATTCTATTCAATTTAAAAAAAATTTATTTTTGTATTCTGAAAAAATTTTTCTCTTTCATCCCTCCTTTTCTTATATATGATTAAGTAAATTTTTAATGATATATTTTCCATCCCTATAATATAAAAATCATTAATAATTATTTAAAGAGAAGTTTATTATTTTAACCAGACTCTTCCTCGCGATATATGAATTTGGTGTCGTCGTCAAAATTCTTATTTTTGAGAATATGGCGTTGCTGCTCATTTTCAACAATGTCTTGATCAAGCTCGGCTAGCCTAGCGGGAGTTATAGTTGGAGCTTCGCTTAACAAGCTAGTATGGGATCGGCCCAAAAAACCCTTGGGTCTTACTTCTATTTTTGTCGACTCATTTTTTGTGGGATAATAGTTATGGCCCAGTAATTTTTTTATATCTGGTTGAGTGGCTTTTAGTATTAAATAACAATCTAATGTGTATATATATTAAAAAAAATTTTTTTTGATAAGATTTATCAAAAAGTATAATAGAAGACTAAACACAACCCAATTTTGGATGATCAATGATTACCCTAAAACGGTTCCATGTCAATTCAGCGAAACTTAATCGCGAAACACTTTTCCGCGAATGTCGTTTATATTTTATAGCGATTTCGCGAATCCACATTAGCTAGCGAATACTTTTCCTCGAAGACAATATTGCGAAACAAATACTTAAATTGCGAAGACAATATAGCAAAAACTATTTTGCGAAATTCGCGGCTTAGTATTAATTATTATTTATTTATATTATGAAATGAAATGATTATTATATTATGTAAATAAATTTCTTTTAGTTGATGTTTTTTTAATTTAAAAAAAATGATATGCTACTGTAATATTATTTTGTTACAATTTATTAGTGATTTTCACGCCCAAAATTTAAAGCAAAAAATATTTTTTGAAGTTGAAATAGATTTTTGAACATTTTTTGATAAAAAATTTAAATCTTCTTTGTAAATGTATTTTTTTTGAGGAAATTTTTTGTGAAATTTATTATAAATATACAATTTTTAAAGTGAAATATTTTATAGTTTTTTTATCATTTTTGTAAAATTATCTATTTCTTAATTATATTAAAAGAGGTGGGTTTTCTAAATAATTTTTTTAAAAATATTTATATTAAACTTATTTATTTTATTTTATATCATCTATTTCTTAAGTATATTAAAAGAGGTCGGTTTTTTAAATAATTTTTTTTAAAATATTTATATTCAATTTATTTATGTTATTTTATATGATCTTTTTAAGGAAAATAATTTAATGTGACAATTGTCATATTCGTTATTTTTAAGATTTTTGAAATTTTTTGACTCAAAAGGGTGAAAAGATCATTTATATTGTAAAGATGTTAAATTATAAATTCAATGAAGATGTTCCTTGGAAAGATGGCATTTATCATAATCGGTATTTTTAAACATATTAGATTTTTTTGACGATAATGGGCAAAAATATGTATTTTTAACATGTTAAATTATAATTTCAATTAGGATGTACCATATAAAAGCGACAATTGTCATAATCGTTGTTTTTAAAGTTTTTTGATGCAAATGGGTAAAAATATAGATTGTAAACATATTAAATTAAAATTTCATGAAAAAGTGACGATTGTTACAATCGTTATTTTTAAAGTTTTTTAATTTTTTTTGATGCAAATGGGCTAAAATATAAATTGCTAACATGTTAAAATAAAATTTCAGTGAAGATACACCCTAGATATGTGACAATTGTCATAATCGTTATTTTTAAAGTTTTTTGACGCAAATGAGCAAAAATATAAATGCTACCATGCTAAAATAAAATTTCAGTGAAGATTTATCATAGAAGTGACAATTGTCATAATCGTTGTTTTTAAAGTTTTTTGACACAAATGTTCAAAAATATAGATTGTAAACATGTAAATTAAAATTTCCAGAAGATATATCATAGAAAAGTGACAATTATCATAATCGTTAATTTTAAAGTTTTGGTTAAAATAAGTATTGCTAGTCTATTTAAATAAGATCCAACCTAAATAAGTGACAATTGTCATAATCATTATTTTTAAAGATTTATTTCTAAAAACCTTAACCTTCCCCCTCTCCCAAGGCATAAACCAGTCAAAGCACAATTAACAAAAAGAGAAATTCAAAATTAAGAAAAAAAGAAAATACAAATCAAAACTCTCCTCTTTTTGAATTTTTTGACGTAAATGGGCAAAAATATGACTTATTAACATGTTAAAATAAAATTTCAGTGAAGATGTACCATAGATAAGTGACAATTGTCATAATCGTTGTTTTTAAAGTTTTTTGAAATTTTTGATGCAAATGGATAAAAATATAGATTGTAAACATATTAAATTAAAATTTCATGAAGATGTACCATAGAAAACGAAAAGTGACAATTGTCACAATCGTTATTTTTAATTTTTTTCGATGCAAATGGGTTAAAATATAAATTGCTAACATGTTAAAATAAAATTTTAGTGAAGATATACCTTAGATATGTGACAATTGTCATAATCGTTATTTAAGTTTTTTGACGCAAATGAGCGAAAATATAAATGCTACCATGTTAAAATAAAATTTCAGTGAAGATTTACCATAGAGCGACAATTGTCATAATCGTTGTCTTTAAAGTTTTTGTAAATTTTTTGATGCAAATGAGTAAAACTATAAATTATAAACATGTTAAAAAAATTCATGAATATGTACCATAGAAAAGTGACAATTGTCATAATCGTTATCTTTAAAGTTTTCCAATATTTTTTTGAGAAATCATTCAAAAAAAAATATTTTGTTTAAATTTTATTGAAATATTTCAGAAAGGTGGGAATTATAACAATCTTCGATCTATAGCTTTTATATTTTTTTGAGAAATGTGTTAGTACCAATTGTCGAAACAAAAAAACAAATGGAAATTTTTATGCTCATAATTGTTGTCCCTTTTATCCTGCTTAAAGATAGTTGTAACTCATGTTAAATTCTTAACTTTTAAGATATGAATTTACAATTTTATTCTTTTTATTAATAAACTTTACTTCGACATCTATTCAAATGCGTATCCTGCATTCACAGTTAGCAAATATTTTTGTATATTCGTGGCAAAATAATGTTGAGTCTGAATGTAGGGTAGGAATTTTATGAAAAGAACTTAAAAACTATATGAATATTATTTAGTAATATGATACAATCAACATCCTATCAATTTAATTTAAGATCTTAAATTATATAAACATATGGTAAAAATGGATTACAATCTATATTTTAACCCATTTGCGTCAAAAAAATTTAAAAAATGTTAAAAATAATGATTATGACAATTATCACTTTTCCATGGTAAATCTTAATGTAATTTTAATTTAACATGTTTACAATTTATATTTTTACCCATTTGCAACAAAAAAATTCAAAAAACTTTTTAAACAATGATTATGACAATTGTCACTATCTATGGTATATCTTCACTGAAATTTAATTTAACATATAAGCAATTTATATTTTTGCCCATTTGCGTCAAAAAATTCAAATAAAATAACTTTATACAACGATTATGACAATTGTCACTTTTCTATGGTACACCCTCATGAAATTTTTATTTAACATGCTTAATCTATATTTTTACCCATTTGCGTAAAAAAAATTCAAAATATTTTAAAAATAACGATTATGACAATTGTCACTTTCTAGGAGGGTACATCTTCATTGAAGTTTTATTTAAACATATTAGCATACTTATTTTAGCCCATCTACGTCAAAGAAATTCAAAAAAGTTATAAAATAATGATTATGACAATTGTCACTTATCTAGGGTACATCTTCACTGAATTTTATTTAAACATGTTAACAATACTTATTTTAGACCATTTACGTCAAAAAAATGTAAAAAACTTTAAAAATAACGATTATGACAATTGTCGCTTTTATGTGGTACACATCCTAATTGAAATTCTATAACATGTTAAAAATACATATTTTTGCCCATTACCGTCAAAAAAATCTAATATGTTTAAAAATACCGATTATGATAAATGCTATCTTTCCAAGGAACATCTTCATTGAATTTATAATTTAACATCTTTACAATATAGATGATATTTTTACCCTTTTGAGTCAAAAAATTTCAAAAATCTTAAAAAATAAAATAACTCACATTAAAATATTATCCTTAAAAAGATCATATAAAATAACATAAATAAGTTAAATATAAATATTTAAAAAAAAATAGAAAACCCACCTCTTTTAATAGATAATTATTTTATAAAAATGATATTAAAAAAAACTATAAAAGATTTCACCTAAAAATTGTATATTTATAATAAATTTCACAAAAGAATTCCTCAAAAAAGATATATGTACTAAGAAGATTTAAAATTTTTATCAAAAACTTTTTGAACTTCAAGAAATATTTTTTACTTAAAATCTTGGGCGTAAAATCACTAATAAATTGTAACTAAAATAATTACAATAGTAGCATATCATTTTTTATTAAAAAACATCAAATAATAAATAATATGTTGTTTTCCTTTAAATAAATGCATTCGTAATATATTTATTGTTTAGCAGTAATGCGCTCGCAATAATGACTCCGCGCAAACATATTCGCTGTAAAGTGATCGCGTAAAAAGTTTCGCTAAAATGTATTAGCTATAATAAATTCGCGGTTAAAGTTTCGCGGAAATAAACACGCGACAATTGCTTCGCAAAATTGTCTTCGCTATAAATGTTTCGCGGAAAAAAATTCACAGAATTGGTTTCGCGATTTTACATTCGCTATAAAAACTTTGCGATAAACGACATTCGCGAAAGTGTTTCTGAATTGACCTGATACGCCCTAAAACCCTTATATTACATTTTTATTTACAAGAAGAATGAAAGAGATATTTTAGTACACTTTTTTACAATTTAAACCACACTCCTAGTAAATCCGAGACCATAAAGTTATTTACCTTATGCCCTAGGACAATCATTCCAAATTTCTTTAAGTTCCCTACGACTTTTAATTTTTATCGCTTAATGAATATTATATAATAATATAAATTTAAAAAAAAACCATTTTCGGGACTAGTTGGTGTGTCTCTTTTATAATCACTGGCACGCGATCTCTTTGGTGTATAATCCTTTCCATTTTCGAAAACCTTATGACTATGGCCTTTATTACGATCATGGCCTAAAGAATTAGCGACAGAGCTCAATTTTTGTTTAAAATATAAATTGCTTTCGTATTCTTCGTCCGATGAAGATGTAATAGGTGAATTATTAGATTTAGCATTTCCATCTCTATTAACATCTTCATAAAATGGTTTATGAAAGGATAAATCATGATGGACTGATGGGGAATAAATCGACAAAGTAAGTGCCAATATTTGTGATACCTTGTAAAAACTAGCCGCCCAAGATATTTTAATAAGCAGTTTAAGTAGCAATTCTTGACAATTTTGATGGATAACTGGGTTTTCATCATCAGTACCTGAATATGAGTCAAAAATAGAAATTAAAAACCGAGAAAAATCGATAACTCATAAGAGTGGCATCGTGCTTAGCACGCGCTAATCTAATTTGAGCAAGCCTAAATGATATGAGCCAGTGAGAGATGCCATTGATTTTCATTAAATTTATGTTATGTAAACAAATTAGATATAAAAGAAATTTTACCTAGAATAATAAAGTGGACTATTCTGTGAAAATTGGTATTCCAATCATAGCCATCGTTTAAATCTGTCAGTGTTTGATTCAACAAAATAATTCCAAAAAGGCATCTAAATTGTTAAATAAAGTATTTGAAGAAAATAAAAAATAACAAACTTAGGCACACGATATAGGTAAGCGCTCTTATCGTCTTCGCAGAGCATATTATCCAGTGGGGCGTAGTAACCTCCATAGGCCGGCATAGGAAATGGGTAATCAAATCCATAGTCATTCATTTTGGTCAATTTCTCTTTTTTCTTTTCTCCTCCTTTATTTTCGTCCATGTGATCGTTATGATTTTGAAAAGGGGGCAGAGCTGGAGGTATTTTTCTAAGAGTGGGTGCTCGACCAAAATCATTTCCTTCAGCCCGAATATTATTGAGCGGTGCTGAACAAAAATCAGAATATCCTCTTTCCACAACAAAATTCCGGTTTATAGTTCTTCTCAGGAAAGGCGCGCAGGCGTATCGCTCGACTGTGACCTTAAAATCGTTATTATGATTGACGGGTATCCCCGCACGGCTAGATGAGTCTAATAAAAGTCCAGTAACCAGGTCAGCAAATCGTGGACCAGAAGCCCAAGCGACGCGTCTTGCGACATCAAATGCGCCATGTAGGCATTTGAGCGGCATTAGAGCACATAAGGTAGTCAAATAGTCGAGAGTTATGATCAGATTATTATTCATGTCAGGACTAGGACTATAGCTCTCGAGCTAGAAGTAGGATGTAATTTTTGTGAGAATACACAAAATTATTTAAAATAATGATATATATATTTAAAGATTTTACCGTTATTAATATACATATTAGTACATTATTAACGTTATTCTTTTTGCTACGAAGATTTTAATAATTTAAGAAAGTTTTTTAAAAATTATAGGCTATTTGTGGTACACCGTGAAATGATTCAATATAGTTTAAAATTGTTATCAAATTCCTTATTTTTCATTTGTCCTTAATAGAGTACACAAATTGAACGTTTCAACGAAGTGTTTCAAAATGCAAATAATGCATTTTAAACGCATTTGTTTAAATTGGACAGCATTTTATTTTGTTTTAAATGTAGACGTTTCATATGAAACAAAAATAAAAATTAACGCTTCAATTTAAACAGCTGCGTTTACGATTTTTATTTGCGTTTTGAAAAGCTGCGTTGAAACGTTCAATTTGTGTGCACTATAAGAAACAAGGGATTTAATATAAACGCTAAGCGAAAGTTTATTTAAAAAGTATCATTTATTGGATTTGAACATATTTTTATTCAATGATTTTAATGGTAAATAAATCATTTTACGTTGGAGTTAAGATGACAAGGCAAAGAGAGTAATGCAGCCCAGACCTCGTTAAATTCCGGACAGGATGTTGAGGAAGTGTATTTACAAGAGGCGTAGAAAAGATCGTTCAGAAGGAAAAGAGTTGTGTCGCTGGTCATCTTGTAGTTCCAGCGATGATTAAGTGTCGCGTCCGATATTCCATTTGCGCTAACATTGCCTTCGTGGCGGTTTGCATAATTATTGCAATAGTAATCATATTTGTAGTGATATCGACCAGTGAGCAAGCCTCGAGGCGTAACGAGCAATCTTTTCTTGTCCTCGAAAGTGGAAGATTCATCAAAATAATAGGGTTTACTTTGATGTTGTTGAGAAAAGTCCAATACCTCGTGGCAATCAGAAAAATTGAAATTCAAAGGAGTCAGTTCAAGGGGGCGGAGCCAAGGGGTCAGAGATTTGAGAAGGAGCCGTTGACAAGATTGGTTCGCCACCGTAAATTTTTGAATTATTTCTGTAATGGTTTATTATTTGTATATGAGGTAAAAAAAATAGATTAAAGAGGAAGTTATATTTTATAATATTTAATTCAAACATAGTAAATATTTTTAATGCATATATGTAAAAAATAACAGATTCACCACATCTAAAAATTAAATTTAGTTTTTCAAATTTTATATCAAATATTAAAGTAAATTAGATTGTATAGTAAAACACACCCGAAAAAAATGGCATCGTTAATTCTTGATGCGTGTCTCGGAAGTAAGAGATCATCTGGTCCGAAGAGACAAGTAGGGCGTAAAATGGGAGGGTCTTACAGTTCGACACAACATAATTGATCATTTGTTTAGGTACTTTATCTTTCTTAGAATAACTGTGGCCCTTTCCGAGAGTTCTTTTGAAAAATTGTCGATCAAGGGTCTGTATAAAATTTAATGAAGAATATCCATTAACATAAACCAAGCTACTAATTCACTAAATATCAAAAAATAGAAGTAACGCAGTTTACATTTTAAAATTTCCAGTATAAACCTGCGAATGTTGATATAAATTAATTTTTCAATTGTTTTAAAATCAATCACTAATAATATTACATATAAAAGTTGTTTGGCGTTATTTTTGATATCTTCATCCTCACTGCAAAAATAAGTAAACGTCAAGGTTAGTATAGGCACTATTTCAGTAGGCAATTCCCTGATAACAAATTTAAATTAAATAAATCATAAAAGAATATCTTATAATTTTACTTATAGCAAAAGGCTTCGGTTATTATGATAAAACAGTTCTTAGCAACTTCATAGGAAGCACTATATGATTTCAAAATCAACCAATCTATCAAATCACATGAATCGGGGTTTAAGATGACTAAATTTACCAAAGTCCGTCTTGTAATATCAATTATCTAAAATAAATTAAAATTTTTATTGGAAAGAAATGAACTTGGGTCTAGAATTCCTTATTAATCCAATATACAAATAAGCTTAAATGGCCCATCAATTATAAAATATTATTAACTTAACATATTAAAGTAGCAAAATTTAGAGAAAAGTCCCACGACAAAATATCTAATTATAAGAAAAATAGAAATCGGGTGAATATGCAATAATACGATAACCTCTTTTGATGAGCAGTACATTAAATTTTCAAACCATTTGAAAGTTGTATTGTTTTCCGCCAAGGCTTTAATTTCGGTGATGGGAGCCGTGGTTAAAACTGTGCATAAAGTTTTAAATGCTATCATCTCAGTATTAGTAAAACCTCCATTTTTATTAAGTCTGTTGATATTTAAAACAATAAATAAATGCGCATTTCTTTTAGGAACTAGAACGAGATCCATCATCATTTTAAATGAAGAAAATTAAAATTCCTTTTAATTAAACTTAAAATATAATTAATTCACGGACTCAAAATATTAAAAATATGGGCATTTGAAAAATTGAGCAAACTTTTTATATTCTTGGGAATTTTTCTGATGACTTAAACGCCCACTCATTTTGTTGAAAAATACGAATAGTTGCGATGTAAGCTGTTTTTTATCGCTCCACAATTCAAATCGGCTTTCGACTGATAGGATGAACGTAAAATGAATTAATTATAAATCATATTTTCTTTCATTCACTTATTCTTTCTCACTTTTTTTCTTTCTCTTTCTAAAGTAAGTATAACAAAATAGTAATGTAGTAAATACGTTCAAAATTGATGATAAGATGATAAATGAATCGACAATATTCAATAGACACGTCCCCGGAATGATCGGCTAAATCGGTTGCCGTTAGGTAAACATCATTATTATCAAAACTATCTATATATTTTGAGCATTTATCGCAAACTTTATCTCCTTCGATGACTCCGTGACGGCAATTTTCGTGTCTATATCATAGAGAGGGTTTTTTATATAAAAGCATTTATAAATTAGGTTTAAATATAAATGGTTTTAAAGATATCATAACATTACCAATACAAAAAACGAAGTATAATAGGTTATCAAGTCAAATCGCACTTTTTAAAATTTTTTAATGTAGTGGTATAAGTCAACCAATTTTATTTATACAAGTGTTTGGCGTGGGGTGGAAAGAAATTTAAATTATTCCCTTGATTTATGCTATAATTTTTCAAAAATAATCACTTGTTAAATAATGTCCAATTTAATGTTTTGCAAAATCTCGAAGCTTAGATAATATTATTTTGGTTAAATCATAATCTGGTAGTTTTTAAAAAACGACCCAAGTAGGGCCGGTTCACTAGTCCAATTTAATTGCAAAAATCAAATGTGAAATTTAATATCAATCACTCGAAAGACTTTTAAATAGCTTTGACAATGTATCAAAAAAAAAGAGTGGACCAAAACTAAAATAGAAGGAATGGCCTTGACAAGATATCAAAAGAATGGCCTTGACAAGATATCAAAAATAAGAGTAAAAACTAAAATACGTTTTTAAGATTTTTATATGCTGTATTAAAATAACTCCTTAATCCCCAGAGCTATTATTCCCACCGATGGTGGAGCATTGGTCGATATGTTGTGAGCCAAGGTAACGGCAGATGAGCGAGTGGATGCCCCGGGGGTTAAACTCTTGACTAAGGTCTCTACAAAGTTAATCATTAGAGTAGCCGCCTTCCTTTTTTCGTATGCCTGGTGGCTGAGGTAATCATCCTCGAGGAGCGAGAGAAGACGAGGGAAAAATATGAAACGGGCTGGGTAATGGGCAAAAAGACTGGCTCGAGCTAGGTTCGCGAGCAAAAGCACGAGACGAGACCGAAGTGTTTCGCGCTTCTTGCGACGTCGGACATTCTCTTGTTTGGATTCAGAGGATTCCTTTAAACCGACCTCCAGGTTTTCCACTAGATCCCTTTTTGTGCATATACATAGTGTAGAATTATTTAAATTTAAAATTTATGAAACATAATTTATCCCTAACCATGAAGAAATTTTAATTTTATTAAATAAAACAAGCAAAAATGAGTAAAAAGATTCGATTTTATTAATGGAGGAAGGAAACCATATTAAAAATATAAGCCAAAAATGATAAGAGTTAGTTAGGTTAAACATTAAAATTTGTATCATATTATTGGCAAAATAAAATCTATCTACGATATGGATCTTAAAGATTTATAAAAAATGGAACAATGAAGAACCCAAGAGCTGAGGGGTTGATGTGTATTAGAGCGTTGAATATGGGCTCCCTTATATCGACACCGTCCAAATTGATAGAAGCGATCATGATTCTGAATAACTCGTTTGTGGGTTGTATGAATTTGCCGGATATGAATGATGAAGGTGCGTGGGTCGGCGAAGAAGAAGAGGAGGAGGAGAATACGTTAATCATCTTGGAAGACGTGTTCAAAAAACCCTTCTCGGAATTACTGCTGCTACTGCAAACAACGCCCTGATTGGCGTTTAAGTTATTATTATTGTTTGTGTTGTGGTAGGATACCGTTTCAGGGGACGAGCTAGAGATGAAAATTGAAATTGTACAAATAATTTTGTAAAAATATTTACACCACAATATAATTTCATAAATTCTAACTCAAAAAGTATTACCGACTTCAAGACAACAATTTGCTCTTATTATTCAAAATAATAGTTTCACATTTATTGCAACCTTTAAGGCTTAAATTTAAATATCAAATTGTCCCAATATTTGTTTTAAATGATGAACTTTGTATTTTTAGTTTCACTACCTCGGTGATAAGGTAAAAGAATGCGAATTTTTTATGCGTTCTTGGTAGCCAGAATCGATTTTGGTGTTAGAGTACTGGGAGAACCCATTTTTTTGATGATGATGACATAGTCGAGAAGGTAAGATAGTACAGGCTAGAGCTAAATACGTGTACCAATTGGATTTATATTTTTCGCGTTCTACGGCAAATGTTGACTTTTTGGCCACGGATGATCTCAATAGAGATGCTCTTGACTCGGCCAAAATTACACTTTTTTTAGATATATATTATGTTAGATACATATATTTTTTAAATAAAAATGTTGTAATTTAGGAAAAGTTAAAAGCAGAACACCTAAACCGGGGGGGGGGGGGTCAATAAAAAAGAAAATTAAATCATTTTATTAAGTTTTATTTTAAAAAATAAATAAGGCAGCATCGATAAAAATATCGGTCAAAGACATATACATGCCACTTTAAAAAGATTGAATCCCTAAATTTTTCAAAAAAAAACCGATTCGATCAGATGCTCTGTTACTTATATTATTCTAAATAATATCGAATTCCTAACTTTTGATTGACTTAAATAAAAATATTTAAGATAGGAAATGTTGTTTTAACTATATCACTTTTTAATGTTGCTGATTTGCCTATATTATTTGCAAGTAAATATCGTAAAACAAAATCAAATATTTTACATAAATTTCCAAGTAAATATCATAAAACAAAATCAAATATTTTTCATAAACCAACGAAAAAATATTAACAACCCATATCGATTATTTAATTAATAATTTTGTTTGATTGCAATCCTAACTAAATTACAAAAAAAAATATCAAAATTATAAATAATAATTTAAAAAAAACTTTGGATCGTAATATTGAAACAGGTAAGATAAACGACTATATAACATATTCCAACATTCGTATCGAACTGGTAAAGAAATTTTAGGATCTTTGCTTTCATCGAAAACAGTGTTAAGTATGCATATCCAAATTTTCACGATATTCATATTTGAAATTGAGTTATTATTGTTAGTAATTGTATTAGCAGTTTTAATTTCATTTTTTGGGGTATTATTGAATGCTACAGGCGCGTTGTTGTGGATGAAGTCCATCAAGCCTACAAAATCTACTGAGTTTTCTTCCATTTTTGAAAGATATAGGATCTAATGATTTTTAAAAAAATTGCATTGACAACCATTAATTTTTATATTAAATGAAAAAGCTATTAAAAATAGTGCTGTAAACATTTCTAAAAATATCGAACGCGTTCGCGTTCATTGACAAAAATCGAACACGTTCATGAAGGCGTTCAGGTCCGTTCAAAATTTTATGATAAATTTTGTTTTAAATTAAATTAAATATAAATAAATGTCTTATATTTTTTAACAAATATAAGTACTATAAATACAATATAATATAGCGAATAAAAAGATATTTTTTTTATAAAGAATTTTCCTTATAAATTTTTAATAACAATTGTTTTGACAGGAACGCTTGGCAGGTAATACGGCATCTATACTAAAAACGCGCTCTATAAGGGCAGATGAGATTGCGGTATTTTACTTAATAAACAACTTTTTTAACGAGGGGAATTTATTAAAAAAAATTATTGTTTTATCCTTTACATCAAAAAATTGAGATAAGTTATCCTCCTACAATCCATCCTCTACTTCCTCGTTTTATATTAAATATTTTTATTCTAAATAAAAATATAAAATCCCAGGTATAGTAGATTCAAAGAAATCATTTCTATAATATTATAAGTTATCCTTAAAATTGTGTTCAACAATTAAAATATAAAATCCTTGATTAAAATAATAGTGATTAGATAAATCTTAAAAAATGATATTAAAAATAAATTTTAAATGATATCATTCCCTATGATTTTTGCTTAGAACAATCTAAAATAAATTAACTGCATACTTAGTTTATTATATAAAATAAAATAATTAATATAACAATCAAATGTCGTTTTAAGGTGGAACTTGAAGATTTTGAAACTGATAAAATACTTTTTGGGCACATTTTACATTTGGTAAGTATTGAATTAGTTCCTTCAATATTGGATGTTACTGTAAAATATAATGTTAATTCATCTGATTTTTAATTTGAATCAGATGATGATGTTGAAATAATAATATCCATGCTTAAGCAAACCTATTAAATTAAAATATAAACAATTATATTCAAATTAAAAAACTATAATAATGGCTTGTTAAAAAATTAAAATAAAAAAGGAAAAACAGCTGATTAAAAAATATAAGACTTTTTTCTTAAAAAATTTGGATTAATATTAAATTTTTTAAATAAATAAAAATAAAGTGTTTTTAAAATTGAACGAACGTTAAATTCGAATGCGTTCGTCAAAAAAAAAGGAATGCGTTCATATTCAAAGTTCGTCAAGAATAAAAGGAACGCTCTTCATCATTTTTTTCAAAATAACAAAAAAATAATATTTTAATCTCGTACTAATTGGTAATATTATCATTTTTAAATATTGAAAAAAATCTCAATGTAATTTTAGACAATAAATTTAATTTTAAAATAAAAATATTCACTGATTGATTGTCCGAAAAATAAGGCGTAATGCGTTTCACTATCAAGGGAAGCTTTTTTTGCATCACATCGTAGATAGCTATAAAATTATCCTTAATAGTATAAATATTTGGTAGAAAAAAAGAGCTGTATTGTATATGATGAAATGAGCTAAATTATACAAAATTTCAAGATAAATTTCCTATTTTAAAGGCAATAAACTATAAAATTATATCAGGTTTGTGTATTAGACCTCAATGAAATTTTATGGATATGGAATATTTTTTCGAATTTCTAATTATTCATCATTCACATTTGATAGAATACGAATATGCATAGAACAATATTCGAATCCGATTTCTATGAGGTCTAGTATTGTGGTATGGAGTAATTATATCATACGTCTAAATTAAAAGTATCAGCTATCCCCTTAATCTCTTTTAATAATGTAACTCCTATCCGCCGAAGGGTCAAATTGTTATGGGCAATGATCACTAATGTAAAGGCTTCGATCATTTGTAAAGCGATTTTGAATTCATTATCGTACAAGATTTCGAGCTTTTCGCTGGTGTTAATAACCTATGATGAAGGTTACAACAAATGATAATTAAATATTAAATAGAGAAATAAATTGCATACCTTGATATCCCGTTTCGTTGTTTCTTTGTGTGTTAATCTGTATTTCTGCTTAAAATCATTGGCTTGAGGAATCATCAAGTTGTTTTTAAAATTATATATCAGTTGCAAAATTGATCTTAAAGAATATTCTAACAGGAATGTTGAGGAGTCCGTAATGTTGGTTTGAATAAAAGTTATAAACTCTAAATATTTAAAAAAAATAAATTATGCCATTAATAAATGCACATAAATATTGCTTTTCATTTTTTCTAATAAATAATTGATCTTAGAAGTGTTGAAACGAATTTTCTAATTACGCCGACAACTACATGGCTTAGCCTAGATGCATTTCCGAGTCAGAAGCCAATAAAACTGACTTAGCTTTGAAACGTACACCGAAACGAACTTTTATATTATGCGTTAATAATAATTTAAATGCGTTTATACATTTTTAACCGAAAAATAGAAACAAGTCAAAGCAAATAACTAATAATATAATGGTGTATTTATAATAAAATACTTTTTAATACGAATGGCCTCCAATTGGGATAATCATTAAAAAGAGTTTGAATAGCTTGGAAGGAAAGTCTTAAAATATTAATGCATGAATGTTAACTAAATTTTTGAAACTATACTATAATTTGAAATATTATATTGTTAAACATGATAATTGAGCTTTAAAAATAAAAATATTATTTATTATTTTATAAACCCTCTCAATTTTTCATCAAGGTGTGTCGTAAGCCTAATTAGCATTTCCACAATTTCCATCCGATTTTTCTTTTCCTCGGGGAATAATCGTGGTATCGCTGCTACGCACGTTCGAAATAAGTCCATTTTCAATTTTCTATCACCGCTAAAAACAAATTTTAAATATGTATATATTGTCAAAGTATAATCTCTAGATCTTATCAAAATATTTTAGGCATGCTCAAGTTAAATCTAGACTAAACTGCTGAGCAAACTGATAGTAACAATATAATAGTATATACGTGGATAAATCTAATATTCATATTGGTATGGTAGTTTAGGAATAATTTACGTGATAACGTCATCAGCCTCTTTGTTATAATTTTGAGAATTGACCATCAAATAAGGCTTTCCCATATGATTGTCTAATACGTTTAAAATGGATTCGTAAGATTTGATAATCGGCACAAAATATTCGGAAGAAATTCCTGTTTATAAAAAAAATTATGTATTTATGTTTACGATATATTTTTACTAAAAGTAATTTCATTATCATGATCACGTTAAAAAACACATAATATTAAAAACCCACCCAATTCCAAAGCCATTTTTTCCGACAGTGTCTTATTAACGAACGTCTTTTTCTTTCTGATGGTATTGCCTGAGGGCAAGGATACTAAATTTTGAGGCATGGGAGGTTCTCCTTCTCTTTGTTGCAAATTATCCGCTACCACCAAAAACCCTCTTAGACCCACGCTCATTCTTTCCGGGCAAACCATTTTAATCGTTTTTCCGGCGTTGAGCAATTCTAGAATAATCTCCTGGAATACAAAATCTAATCTTTGCTATGTTTTTTTTTGTGATAGTTGGAAAATTTTGAAAATAAAACGATAAACTTTAAAAAAAATATTGATTAATTGATAATGAGAAATTTATTATATTATAAAAATATCTAAATAGTTTTAAAAAAACCAACCTGCGAAATGAATTGGATAATTTTAACGAAAATATTGAGAGGAGCGTCTTTCGGGATCAAAATTTTCGATCCCTTTGGGTATAAACTATTAACAATGCTAGAAAGCCTGCTCAAGGTGATTGAATTGCTTTCTCCTCTTATCCTGATCATGTAAACCCTTGAAACAAAATGTTTTGCAGGAAAAATAGTTAGATTTTAGGACATGAATTTCAAGTAAATTTATAAAGTAGCAATTGTAATAGAATTTTAACCTTGAATAAAGGCAAATGATTATAGGATTAATTGTTATTCAAATATTAATTGATTTGTAAAAGATATATAAAATAACGATATTAATTACAAAGATATGATAAAATTATTTATATTTTCACGCTAGTACAATGCGCAGGTGTATACAATCGCCAAAATAGAGCACAAAAAATCGCTTTTATTAGCAGATATTAGATTAGAAGTTTATTCAAAATTATTTACTTTGTTTTTACCGAAGACATTAGCTGAAACATCATACGATACTTTAAAAAAATTATTACTCGAAGAAAACTAATTTTATGCTGGAGAGATATTATTTTTTCAAAATGGAACAAGGAAAAGGAGAAACTATTACAGAATATATAAATAAATTAAAGATAAAAGCAAACACGCGTGATTTTAAAGAGATGTATAATACAATGCCGTTATAAATTATTGTCGGGTATAACGAATTAAAAAATATTAATGAAGTTAATCAACACTCCAGACTTGACATGGGAAAAGGCTGCTCAAATTGCTACATCAATGGAGACGACGGAAATGATAACATATAAATTATCTGCAGGATATAAATAAAATTTCAAAAAAAGTGACCAGGGAGAAGTATGACAATTATAAACTAGTATCAAAAATTATTTGTTAATGTTGTGGATTAGAAAACCAAAGAGCCCAAATATAAATGAAATTTGTCATAATTGTGGTATGAAAAGACATTTACAGAAAGTATGCAGAAGGAATCGTGGTAAGAAAGAATATATTCGAACGATAGATGTCACACAAAAGGGGTGAGAAAGCTTTGAGAATTGGGACTCTCCAGAGGAGTCGCGGGAAAAATTTGAGGTGAAATTATTGATAGATAAAATATATATTAATTTTTTAATTGACACAGGATCGACAGTCTCCATTTTGAATATAGCAGACGTTTACCGTTTAAAAATACCAGTAATAAGAACGGATATTATTTTAAAATCTTATAATAATTTAATGATCGATATTAAAGGTAAATGTATATTACCCGTTATTTATAAAAATAAATTAAATATCATGATTTATAATTGCAAACAATGGTATTAATATGATATGTAGAAATTTAATAAATTAATTAAATCTAATAATAATTCAATGTAATATAATTAATGAGGTTTGGGGGGATAATATTGAACAAAAATTTCCATCATTTATTAAAATATTAGATTTACTGAAAGATTTTAAAGCAAGTTTAGCGGTAAAACCCAACCCCAACTTTCAATGTCTTAAGAGCAGATCGATACCATTTGCGTGGAAGACAAAATTAGAAGCGGAATTACAAAGAATGGAATCCATGGAAGTTTTAGAAAAACTCATATATTCGAATATCGATTCTCCGATCGTGCCTGTACTGAAAAAAGATGGATCCTTACGAATTTGCGGTGACTTCCGACAGACGGTTAGTGCAAATATTTTGATTGATCAATATCCTATACTAAAAATTAAATAATTATTAGCCACACAGGTAATGGATCCAAATATGCGATATTAGATTTATCAGAACTCTCCCAAAATCCTACCTCAGCCTCATCGTAGCGGGAGAGTGGCAACGTCTTTTGGCGGCTAATGGAGGTCTAAAAGGTTCCCTGTGATCTGGGTCTAGAATAGGATCACCGTTTCCTCGACGGAGTTTAAAAACTACTTAAAGGGGTTGATGTCAGGAAGGGCATCCGATTGTAAAAACATTGCTACACAATTTCCCTATGGTTATATCAAAACATGGGCGGGGTACAGCCCAAAGTACCACGTGGGCCTCCTCATCCGCCTACAACAAAAAGAAGGGCGGGAAACCTGGTGGAACCACGATTGACGAAAATGAAACTTATGACGGCCACGAGTAAAGGTCGCTACATGGAATGTTGGGAGTATGACAGGAAGAGCGGGAGAAGTGGTCGATGTATTGCATAGAAGGCATATAGATGTGTGCTGCATACAGGAGACAAGATGGAAAGGAAATGGAACAAGAATGATTGGCAAGACTAGTGAAAAGTATAAATTATTTTGGCAAGGAAGTAATGATGGTAAGGCTGGAGTTGGGGTATTGGTTGCGGAGAAATTGGTAGACAAAGTAGTCGAAGTGAGAAGGCTAGATAACCAGATAATGGTAATAAAGATGATTTTTGGTAGAAAGCTATATAATATTATCTCGGCATATGTTCCTCAAGTTGGAAGAGAAGAAGAGAAAGATATATTTTGGAACAGTCTATTGGGGGTGACATCGAGACTGGAAAATGAAGAGGGGATTATCCTGGCTGGTGATCTGAATGGATATGTAGGAGCGAGTGTAGTGAAGGTTATGAAGGATTATATGGAAGGTAGAGTTAAGGCATGAGGAATCTGGAAGGGGAGAAGATTTTAGATTTTAGTGATGCTATGGATATGATTGTCTGTAATACAATGTTTAAGAAAGAATCAGAGAAGCTTGTGACTTATAAGTCAGGTAGTACCAAAAATGCGGTGGATTATTTGTTATTAAGGAGATGTGATAGATGTATAGTAAAAAATGTGAAAGTGATACCGGGAGAGGAATGTATTAATCAGCATCGACTAGTTATAGGAGATCATACTTTTAAAGGCGCCAGGATCACTAAAAGAAAGTTTGTGCCAAGACTGAAAGTCTGGAAATTGAAGGAGGAGAGTGCAAGACGACAATTCAAATGACATTGGTGATAAAGGAAGGAGGCGGAGGTGGCACAAGCATCTGGGGTAAATGACAAGTGGGAGACAGAAAGCCTGGGTGATGACAACTGGGGAGGTATGTGGATGGACAAAAGGGCCGCCTAGATATAAGGAGACTTGTTGGTGGAACCCGGGGGTAGCGAAAGCTGTGGAGAAACGCAGGTGTTTTAAAGAATGGTATAATAGTAAGGATAATAGTGATAACGATATTTGCAAGATGGCGAAAAGAAATGCTAAGAAATTAATAGCGAAGGCGCAAGAAGAAAAAAGGCAGGAGTTTGCTAAAGAAATGGAATGGGCTGAAGGAATGGGAAATGTGGTTCGAATGGCAAAGCAGATGGCAAAAAAGAGGCAAGATGTGATAGTAATGATATTAAGAACACCTGAAAGATTTACATGGAAGGACTTTTGAACGAAGAAAATGAATGAATTTAATAATGTTAGTTGTGCAAAGGTAGAAGGTCCAGGGTGTAAATTTGACAAGGATGAAATAAAGAGAGCAGTGAAAAAGATGAAAAAAGGGAAGGCATCAGGTTTAACGATGGTGGTATCAGAGATGTTTAAAGGTTCTCATGACTTAGGGGAATGGTTAATGAATTTGGCAAATCAAATTGTCACAGAAGGAACTATTCCCGAGGGAAAAGGTGATCCTTTAGATTGCGGGTCTTACAGAAATATTAAACTCATGGAACATGCAATGAAGGTATTTGAGAGGGTGTTAGAGAAGCGGATAAGGGAACAAACTAAAATTGATAATGCAGTTTGGTTTTACATCGGGAAAAGGCACGACAGATGCAATTTTTGTGGTGAGGCAAATATAGGAGAATTATCTTGCGAAGGAAAAGAAACTCTATTATGCATTTGTTGATTTAGAGAAAGCATTTGACAGGGTGCCGCATGAGATTACTAGTTGGGCCTTAAGAAAATCAGGTGTGGAGGAATGGTTGGTTATCGCAGTGATGGCAATGTATCTAGGAGCACAAACAGATTATGGTGATAGTGAAAGCTTTGAGGCGAAAGTAGGATTCATCAAGGATCCGTGCTGAGTCCATTATTATTTATCTTAGTAATGGATGTGGTGGCTAGAGAAATGCGTGAAGGACTTCCCTGGGAGCTATTATATGCCGAAGACCTTGTATTAATGGCAAACAGTGAGGAAGAATTGAGGGATAGAATTAGTATATGGAAGATAACTATGGAAGCAAAGGGTCTGAAAATGAATGCATCAAAGACAATGGTGATGATTGGTGGGGAAAATCTAAAGATGGAGAAATCCGGTATGTGGCCTTGTAGTGTATGTGGGAAAGGAGTTGCTAGAAATTCAACCAAAAATGGGTACATAATAGATGTAGCGGGAAAAAAGGAAGTTTGATGTTAGAAAGAATGACCTTTATTTGTAGAACATGTATGAAAGGGATACATAATAATGATAATGTAGAAAATGGTGGTCTGGATATTGGCAATGGGTTAACCCTAGAAAAAGTGGATACGTTTTGTTATTTGGGTGATATACTAAACGCAGATGGTGGTGTAGATTTTGCCGTTGTTGCAAGGGTCAGACAAGCTTGATAGAAGTTCAGAGAAATGTCGTCTATTCTTACAAATAAAAATGTCTCTCTGAAGTTAAAGGGGAAAGTTTATGTAAGATGTGTGAGGAGTTGTTTAGTTTATGGCGGCAAAACATGGGCAATGAAAGCGACTCACGAAGCCAAATTAGAAAGAACAGAGATGAAGAAGATTAGATGGATGTGCGGGGTATCTCTGAGAGAGAGATAAAGTAGCAAGGAATTGCGAGCAAGATTGGGTATAGAAATGATTGGAGTGGTAATGCGACGGAATAGACTAAGATGGTCTGGGCATGTGAAACGTATGATAAAGGATGAGTGGGTCTTGATGGAAATAGGAGGATCAAGACCTAGAGGAAGGCCCAAAATGAAGTGGACAAATGTGATAGCTGCGGATATGAGAAGCATGAATCTTACAAATATTGATGCTCAGGACCGTCAAAAATGGAAAAGAAAAATCAGAAGGAAAACTGGCCTACCCGGGTAAACCTGGAAATCGCCATAAAACAGAGAAGAAGAAGAAAGAAGATTTATCAGAAGCGTATTTTCAAATAGCACTCGAAGAGGAGGCAAAAAAGCTGTTCGTGATCCACACGACTTCCATTCGGGTACCTTCAGCGCCAACCATTTTTAAATAAACAATGGATTCGTTTTTAAAAGGACTACCTGGGGTAACGGTATATTTGAACGATATAATAGTGGGGAATCAATTGAGATTCATAAAAAAAATTTGATAAATATATTAAAGACGTTAGAAATAAACGGTATGAAATTAAATCAAAATGTAATTTTTTTAAAGAAAAGATTGAATTCTTAGGTCATAACATTAACGAAGTGGGAATCACAACAACAAATAAGAATGTCAATGCAATTTTAGACACACCGTTACCTAAAAACGTTAGAGAATTACAAGCTTTTATCCGTATAATTAATTATTATCAAAAATTTATAACCTATTTTTCGACTATTACCACTATGCTTTTAAGGAAAAATGTGCCAAGAAAATGGACAGATGAAACTAATAAATTTAAAAAATTAATATCAGAAGCGCCAATTTTAAAGCAATATAATCCGAAAAAACCGATAATTCTAGCTGCTGACGCGTCGCAACATGGAATAGGATCAGTTCCATCTCATAAAGAAGAAAAGCCGGTTGGATTGGCTTCTTGAACATTAAATGTCAGATAGAGCGTAAAAGACTTTAGCAATCATATTTGGATTAATTAATTAACAATATTTAAATGGTAATCATTTCACTGTAATCATTGATCATAAACCACTTATATCGTTACTTAACCCACATAAAAGAATAACAGATATGTCGTCAAAATTAGTAAGATGGTCATTACTACTAGCATATGAATTGTAACTTCGCGGAACGAAAAAAAATAGCAATGCAGATATGCTTTCACGTTTCCCAATTGAAGACAAACTATCTGCTTGGGAAGAGTTTGATATTATTTTAATAGTATCGGATGCTCCACATTAGCGTTAGATATAAAATCACACATAAGAAATGACCCGGTACTAACAAAAGTTTCACGTACAACTGGGTGGCCGAAAATAATAGAGGAAAATCTAAAACTTTTTTCCAGCTCCGAAATGAACGGAGGCAGGTTGTATATTATGATAATTAAGAAACATAATTCCAAAAAAATTACAAGTAAATATTTTGTCTTTTTTTACATATGGGGCACCAGGGTTATATTAAAACAAAATTATTGGCCCAAGAGAACGTTTGGTGGCCTAATATTAACGAAGACATCGATTTACATGGTAAAACAAATAACCCTGGCGGTAAAACGATCATAAGGAAATGACCCTCAGCATAAACCATGGGAAAGAATTCATTTAGATTTTGCCGGACCAATTAACGGAGATATATATCTAGTAATAATAGATAGTTTTAGTAAATGACCTGAAATACAAAAACTTTCGACAAAAATTTTACTGTAATAATAAAAATATTGTCAAGACTTTTTGCTATTTTCGGTTACTCCAATATGAGAAGACATATTAATTATTTAAAACATAGGTTCAACGATTCCAATTTTAAAAATATAAAGGAAGGAAGAGAAGGAGAAACTATGCACTATACCATGGATGGGTGAAATTGATCCTATAAAAAACTCGATAGCCAAAGACATTAATTCTATACAAAACTCGATAACTGACACTATCATAAATATTGAAATCGCTAGTAGGAATCAACCCGCATTAGGGAACGAAAGTACAAGTAGCCGCTATCCAAAATGGATAAGAAAACAATTTATACCATTTCAAATCGAGAACCCAAAAAGGAGTAATGTAATGAATCAATTAACCTTGAAAATAAAGGCAATTGATTATAGGATTAATTGTAATTCAAATTTGTTAATTGTGTATTATGATTAATTGATGTATTATTTATATTAATTTAAGATATATAAACTAAAGAAATTAATTACAAAGATATAATAAAATTATTCATACGATAGTACAGCATCAACTAAAGATGACGCTTATATTAAAATGTCGTGTAAATTAATAGTCTTAAGGGGTGATATCAGCTATGGTTACCCTATATTATATGATTAATTGAGTATTGGAGTGTCCCCTATCCAAGCATTAATTTAAAAAAAAATTAAGTTTGAATATTACGTTGATAAATAAATTTAAATTATAATTCATTTGCATATTGATTTAATCTATTCAATTCTTTTAATAGTGTAGTTAATTAACTGAAGTAAAAGGAACTTCTGTTAAATTTTTACATGAATATAATATTCAAAAATAAAACAATATTTGGCTTTGAAAATTCGTTAAAAGTATTAAGATATCGATCAATTAATAAAAAAATTTAAAAAAAAGATTAGATTGGATAGAAACTGAACTCTTTACTGGAATTTGGATTAGATTGATTCATAAAATAAATTTAAAATCCCGTTAATAATAATAAAAAAAAATATGAAATTTAAACCATAACAATCGATATAGTGATTCCAGAGCTATGCGACACAATTTAGGATCTTTACACTTGAGGTTAGATAGACAAATGTTGGAAAAGAACTGAAAATTAAGGATGAAAAACTGTTTTTGACTGATGCAAAATAAGCAAGTGGTCAGAGGGAAGATTGCCTACATATTTTTTTTAGAAACAATATTTATCAAATAAAGTAAAAGTTAATTGATAAAGTTTATAAGTTGTTTTGTTTGATCCTTAAAAATATTAAAGGTATATTACCAGAGCGTGCTTTTTTTTAGATATCATATCCATAGCGGGCTGGTAAAGACAATCTACAAATTGCTTTACGCAAGGAATATTCACCTCGTTTTTGATTTTCTATAATTTTAAGATTAATAATTTAATTTGAGAAGTAAAAATAAACTAATACAAACTAAGCATTAAGGATTAAAATAATATTATAAATATATTTAGATTTAATATTATTATAAATAATCGGATTAATAAAAAATTACTGAAGCAATTGGAATAAGTATATCAACCAATATCGCAGCCAGAGCGTGCTTAATCTCCTTATTTTTAATCTCTAAGAAGTAGTTGGCCAAATGTTGAAGAAATTTAAAGCCTTCTTCCAAATCTTCTATCGGAACCATCTAATTTAATATCAAATAATGCGATAAAATCATTTTTAATTCAGCGTATATAACCAACCTGTATCCTTAGAAATTTGATACCCATCAATAAGTTAATAAGGGAATCGCTCGCGATATTTTGATTAAACAAAGCAGTTTCTTTGATTTTCAGTTTGTTGAGTTCTAATATTATGCGAAGTGATATGCACTTGAACCTATATAATAATAAGAGAGCTGCATAATGTATGAAAAGATTTACAATATTAATATTACGATTGGTAGAAAAATGTTCTAATTAGATATACTTTGAAAAATAGAATATAATCTTATTATAATTAATAAGATATATCATCATGATTTTAAAACCTAGATTGGGCCAAAACTCCCAATACTTCGGCATATAGATCAAATATCAAATTTTGATTAGGTAGGTTAGGGTTATTATTTGATTGGTTGTTACTAATAAAATTGTTATTGCCGCCAGGGTTTGGGTTTACATTATTAACGTTGCTCGCGTTATTGTTAGTTATTGGATTAGTAGCGTCCTTGCTAACGCAAGAATATTTGAAATGTTTAAATATTTGATCTTCGATGATTTTGTACAGGTTTTCGTGGCCGGGATGCAATTTAAATTGTGGAAGTATTTGAATCAACGATAAGCAGTAAATGTATTCAATAGTTAACTATTATATATAAATATATACTCATAGTGAATATATAAATGAATGAAAAAGTTATTTATAGTAATATTTTAAAAAATCTTTTACTTCTTTGCGTTCGGTCAAAAAATCCTTAGAGTTTTGATCGCTTTTTAATAAAAAAAAATTTTTTTTAACGATATTTTAAACATAAACAATTTTTTTAAACTATACTTTATAAATATCTTATAAGGTAAATTCAAATACCACTATACAATTACTAATTTAATCAACATTTTTGTACTAAACATCCCTTTTTTTAAGATACCCATATATTTTTATACTGCGTCTAAGTATATTGGGATGAGCTTTAATGAAATTATATATATATACCTCCTATGTAATCCGGTGACCGTAAAATCTGCGGAATTTTCGCGGGGAGTTATTCCGTTATAATTATTGTTATTATACCAATTTTTATTAAGATTCCCGCTGGCATTACAATTATTGGAATTATTGCTAATAAAACTACCCGTCATACTTGTAATAGACGAATTGTTGAAGATATCGCAAGAAATAATAGAAGAAGTAACGGCATTCGCGTTATTACCTATATTATTGCTAAAACTATTATTATTCGTGTTGTTATTATTGTTAGTGATGTTCAAACTGTTCGAAGTGCTGATGAGGGAAGCGGCAACTCCTACCAAACCGCTAATAATATTGGATGATATAATACTGCCGCCTATATTTGTGGATGGAGGTGATGAATATGTGGATGATGCTATAGGAATGTCGCAAGAGGTATCTTCCCCCTTAATCAGCTGGGGTGGATTGTGACTCAGATTTGAGCTTATTGCTGAGAGGCCCTGAACTCCGAGACAAGAAGCCAACGCCCATTCGTACCAAAGGGTAAGAGCTTGCAAGAGTGAGGGTAAGCAGAATTCTGAAAGGGAACCAAATTGTATCATAATCTATGGTGTAGGGGATTTGTTGATTAAATTTGATGATAAATCAAAGATACTACAGGTCCAGCCCGAAACCGACCAATATTCGTATTATTTTAAAAATCGTAAAAAATTTAAAATTCGGGTCAGGCCGATTTTTTGTACTAATTAAATCAGTTGGAAAATCATATAATGGAGTGTTTAATATTTTAGATTAAACAATTTGCAAAATAATTTATAACAATATTTTAAAAATTCCGGGCCGGGCCAAAAATTTTTTAAAAAAATCTCGGGACTGGGCGGGTTGAAAATAATTTTTTTTTATAAATTCCTACTGGGCCAAAAATTTTGACCATTAAATGAATTAATAATATTGCCTTTGAGTAGTGAGGAAAAAATTAGCTAAACTATTTATATTCTTTTTTGATTTTGAATTCCCAAAATTTATCAGTTAAAACGTTTTTCCGAATTTTAATTAGTGTTTTGAATTTGTTAAGTCTGAGATGAAAAAGATTATAAGAGAGTTCTTACCTAGGTAAATAACAAGAGATTATATATATAATAATTATAGTGTTGCTAAAGGTAATTTTATTAAATTCCTAGTCATCATTAGTATAATGTAATCTCTTCTATAAGTGGTAATAATTTGGAATAATATCCAAACTTTTATATAAATCAAGCCCTTTAAACTAAAGTCCTGCTTGAACCTATTTAGTCCGATCACTTCGAAATAGGATTGACTCGGTTGGCATTCAAACATTATAATTTTTGTAAATTACTTTTCGTGCTTTAAATATTATTTATGCCGTAGAACTAAAGACATTTGTCAAATATAATTTTATATCAAATTAGAAGCTAGCATATTATATCATAAATATAAAAAACTGAATAACAAAATTCAGAAATATTTACCTATCGTCAAAAATTAAAATAATTTTATTATTAAATTTAATCAAAAATTAAAAGTAATTTTACGATTAAATTTTAGAAGCATCGATTGGTCGGAATGGGTCGAAATTCTTTAACAAATATTGAAATTCGATCTGGACCACTGCAAATATTTTCTGAGTGCAATATGTCACTTAAATCATTATTTGTTTTAAATATAAAAAAAATTTGGGAGCTAAAAAATAAACATTTAATACACACTTGGTCAAATGATTGATCCTCTCCTTTTTGTAACGATTTCGCTAACGATTTTTCCTTTAAAAAGATATGAATAAATTAATAAAGCATTAATCGGGAGATGTGGGGATTAGATTCTATCTCCTCTTTTTATATTTTAATATATATCAAAATAAAAACGGGCAGAGTAACTGTCATCACATATAAACAATGTATTTTCTTTTGTCATAATTTATAGATAAATTTCCGCCCCATATGTTAAAAGTTAAAGATAAAATAACAGTAATTTTAGAAATAATCAAAATATTGTAATACTAGAGGTTCGTTAAGAGCAAAATCGATCCTTTTGTTAGCTATCATCATAAATCCTATAAATAATTTTTTCATCAAATATTGCCCGGCATTTTCGTTTAAATTTAGATTCGTTAACAGCTCGGTTTTCGAATAATGACTTTCACCTTCGTTAGCATCGTTGGCATGCGATTTTATTTGGTCAATTATTATTTGCTCGTTAGATATTTTAGTATCGATACATTGATTGGATGAATTTTTAAACACGTGATTGTCTTTGGTATGCCCGTTATTTTTAGTGTCGTCATATTTACGATTATTGTGGATGTGTTTATGGTTGACATCGTATTTGTTGAGCGATACATTAAACGGTAATTCATTTCCATTGGTTAACGAGTTTAGGCAATTGGTCAATTTGTCTTTTTTGATGTTATTGTTTAGATTTGTAATAACCTTCATTTGAGCATCAATAGTTGGATTGAGCTTTGATTTATGGGGATAATAGAAGTCTAAAGGATTTCGATTATTTTCGTAGAGATCGTTGGATGTATCACCAGGGATTATTGGAATAGAATCAGATGGTAATGAATGATTTTGAGGATCAAAAGGATGGACAGTATATATTGATATCGGCTGTTCACATATATGGTGGTCTGATGAGTGTAAAAAAATCACAATTTATTTTCATTTTATGTAAATAAATATATAAATAATAATAGATATACACAAAAAAGAAATTTTAAATTATATTAAGTCAATTTGCCCGTTAATACTTAAAGAAAGTTGAAATATAAAGAATGACTTATTCATATTTGTTTATGGCAACTATAAATAATATCTTGATTGACAATTTAAAAGATTCATTTTCTTCGAATTAAATCAAAATATGTGGTATTTTTAAATGAAAGTCCTTGCAACCAGAAAATAAAAATTCTTCAAAGATTTTTTTTGAGAATGCTCAAGCATGACTTTTAATCAACCTAAATTCAAAATCTTTTATAAGTAAATCTTTTGTTATTTATATATATGCATAAAAAAACTTTCATGTTGCTATCTTTAAATATTTTTTGCTCAAAATTTTGGACGAAAATAATCTTCAAATCTTGTAGCATTTAATTTGTGATTTAAGCATAAAATAAATTGAAACACCCAGTAATAAAGGCCACCTCTCAAACTAAGTCCATCCCAAAATTAAAAATGAACCTATCGGTTCAAGTAGTAAGTATTTTATTTTAAGGTTTTGTTTCTCTAAGATTTTAAGATTTTCTTTAAAGTTTAGCATTATCAAATAATTTATTTTATAAACATAAAGATCATAGTGTTTATTAGCCTTTTAAAATGCCTACACTATGGTTTAAGGAGATTATTAACTATATTAAATAGTTACATGCAGTGAAGTTAAATAATTTAATTAAATGTCAACAAATGGCATTTTAAGTGGGTCTAAAACTCACATCAAATACCTTATTATATTAGTATTTCCAAAATATTCGCGCATTCGCATTTGTGTTATATAAATACGAGTGAAATATTATATCGTCAGTATGGTATTTTTTGAGAGGTATAGCAGAAAAAAATGATGTATTTAATCAAAATTTAAAACACTGTAATTTTGTATATAAAAAATTATATAATTTTAAGAAGTCGACGTGGTCGGGACGAAAAAGGATCGTATAAATTTTCTATTCGGTCCAGCCCATAATTATTTTTACCAAACCTGGCCCTTGATCTATATTTTGTACTCTGGCCCGGCCAGTAATAATTTTTTATGAAGGAAAACGACATAAATTTGCCTAATTATAAGCTTTAAAAACATTTTCGAAACTTTAACCAGGCCCGTTAAAATATATATAAATATTATTGTATTTACTTTTCAAAAATTACGAGAATAATATTGAAAAGTTTCCACGTAAAATGGAGAGAAAAAAAATATATGTAATTTGCTTAATATGGTTTAAAAAAAATGTTTGATAATTTGCGCTATTTTAAAGCATTTAAAATATAATATAATTCAATATAAAAAAGATAATAATCTAGAACCTATTCAAGGACAGTAAATATCGATCCAAAAATTACAAGTCAACGATAAAAGGGTTTTTTTCAAATAAAAATTTATAACCTTAAATAAAATGCAATTTTTATATTATTTTTTTCCATTTATAAAATTATTGTTCCGAAAATTGAAAACAAAAGTAATGGAGAAAAGGTCATTCGTATTGAAAAGAAATTAAAATACAATTTAAATTTTTTTTAATTTCTTTTATAAAAATCAAGCCTTCCTGGGAATGATTTTATTGGAAAAAAAAAATGAAACGTGCCTCTAAATTTAAAACATTTTTGCTATCAGAGAAAAGGGGATTATGCATGCTATTAGATAAACTATTGAAAGAATATTATGCAAATTTCTATTAAAAATATCAGAGACCTGCAGGCCCGGCCCTAAACCCGGCCCGTATTTTAAATTTTTTAAATATACCCGGGCCGGGCCTGGCCTAAAAAATTTTTTTTTAAACATATCCGGGCCGGGCCTAAGATTGTTAAACCCGGGGTGGGCCTTAATATTTTTTATAAAATTTTTTACATTATGAGTTAATGGTTATATGATTATATTATATTATAGTTATGATTAATATAATATTGGGTGATGGTTAACACTACCTAACACCCACAGATCGATCTAATTATTAATTTCCTGCAAATTTATTCAAAGCATTAATATATTTTTTTATAATTCATATCTAAATTTTTACAACATATTTTACCAAAACAATCAAATAAAGGAATATCTTAAATAAGCCCCAATATTCAAGTATTATTAATATATTTTTTTATAATTCATATCTAAATTTTTAGAATATATTTTACCAAAACAATCAAATAAAGGAATATCACTTCTTGAAGTTTGTAATACCTTTCAAAGCGAAAAAGGAGAAATAAAATTGATTTTACTTAATATAAAGCATTTTTTAATTGAAAAATTTGTTTTACACAAGTATAATTTTATTTCTCTTTTTCTCTGTCCCAAATTCAAGCAATTACGTATGTTGTCAGGGACAGATCGCAAGATGACGGAAAACTATATAAAAGATTATATTAAATTACAAGAGGCTCAGGAAGTAAATGAAATACCATCGACCAGTCAAATTACGACTGTTGTTAAACAAACTGAATCGTTTTATGACAAATGGGGCGATGGTTATTCTGGTAATATGTCAATACCCGATGATGAATATTATAATTACATAAATAAAAAAATAGATGAAAAATTTATGTTGGATAATTTGTTAGAGTGGTGGGCGGCTCATCAAAGCGAATTTCCAATTTTAGCAAAATTGGCAAAACGGGTATTGGCAATTCCTGCTTCAAGTGCAAGCTGTGAGCGGAATTTTTCCACTACTGGGAGAATTCTTGAAGAAAGAAGAAGTAATCTTCAACCTGAAAAGGTAGATATGCATCTCTTTCTTCATGATAATTTGTGAATTTTTAATATCTTTCTTGAGTATAGGGTTTCGTCAATCATGCTGGTTTTTTACTTTGCAAACTGTCAAATATTTATTGCATTTATTATATTTACCTTGAGTCATGAAAGTTTTTAATCCAACATTTTTCATTATTCTTTTTTACAATATTATATAATACAATTATCTTCTTTTGTTAAAAATTTATATTATAAAGAAATTATATTAATATTGTGCAATTAGATTATATTTTCAAAATACTATTTATTATACAAGCATTTTTTTAAATAGCGATTTATTTTTATTTTATAAATTAAATAGTAAATTAAATACAATATATTATATTCTCAAAATATTTTCCATTTTTATAAATTAAACATTAGTTTTATTTTTTTTAAAATGCAATATAAAATATAGTATATGCTCAAAATATCCATTTTTATAAATAACAGTTTTATAATTTTTATAAATTCAATATAATATTCTCAAAATATTAGCTTTTTACATGTATTTTTTAAATAATAAGCGATAATACTCGCTGAAAAATATGGTAAAATACCTCATAGGTGAATTTTTGTATATACCAGGTCGAATATAATTTTAAAAAATTCCGAGCCGGACCTGAAATTTTTAAATCCGGGCCGGGCCGTAAAAATTTTTTTAAAAATATGCGGGCCGGGCCGGGCTTAAAAAATTTAAAACCGGGCCGGGCCGTGCAAATGGTACCTCTGCAGGTCTCTGAAAAATATATTAGATGATCATTTTATTTTGTATGTATACAAAAGGCGCAGGATTTTTTAAAGAAATATTTTGGCCCAGATCGGATTATTGTTAATAATTATATTTTTCCTCGCTCTAAAATTTTAAAATTTTGTCATTTTAAATTATTTTGGCTAAATTGTTTAAAGGGAAATTTAAAATATGAGCAGTAAATTAATATTAAACGCTTCATTTTTCAACATTTTGCAAGTAATTAATTGATTTTGCAACTAATTGATATAATAATTAAATCGGCCCGGCATAAAATTTAATTTTTTTAAGATATATAGCGAAATATAACAAAAAAATATTTGTATTGATTAAAAATTCTATAGTGAAAATTTGCAAAGCCCGGCCTCTCCGAAAGCCAAACCCGCTTGCAACGGGCATTTTTTTTACAAAATTAACAATTCGTACGTAAAAAAATCAGACAGGGAATCGCAAATCTCTGATTTTTCGTAAAATTTAATATTTTTTGTGGTATAGGTATATCTCTGCGTTTTATCAATATATTTATATTTAAAGATCATTAATTTCGATCATGACACAAATCGACATTGTGCAGCATCTTACTTTAAAAAAAATATATAATGTTAATAAGAAATAATTGGTAAAATCTTGTATTTTAATAATAAATTTTCAGAAAAAAAAGGATCAAATTATTATCAATATGTTTTTTTGAACGTTAATTAGAGCCTTGATGCAAAAACATATCTATTCCTTTCAACCATCAAAATTTACACAAAGTAAACGATATTTTATTGTTATATTGTATTATATAAAAAATATGAATTGATCAAATCAATAACCTTTGATACAAAAGTGGTTTTTTAAAGATAAATATAAAACAATGTTATATAATAATGTTAAAAAAATCCCAAACTTTCAAAATAAGGACAACCATTTAAAGATCTATAATTTATAAAATAATTATGTATTAGATTATAAAAATATCAGAGAGCTGTAGAACTCAGGGCCAGCCGGTTAGCTTAGCCAGCGGTAACATCATCAGTGAAATATAGGCCTGACTGTGGCTCGAAAATATTAATGTTAAATTTATTTCTACTTTTTTGCCTGATTGATTATCCATATTTATAAAATAAATTTAAAAAAAATAAGAAAATTTTTAAAATAAAGAAATATTTAACATTTATTTTCATGTCATATTTTAATATATAAAATGAAATAGATAAACATCATTAAATAATTAGTGTAGATCAGAGACCTTCATGGGCCTTAATTTTTTGACCAAACCCGGCCCAGGCCCGCAGTATAAAAATTTTTTAGGCCAAAGCCCGGCCCAGCCCATATCTAATGTTAAAATATTCCCAAGTCCGGCCCAAGCCCATGATAAACTTCAAAAAAATTTACCAAACGCGGCCCATCCAAAAATTTAATTTTTTTTATTTAATGAAAATAAACAATATTTAAATATA